GACAGACAGGACTCCAATCTTAACTATCAACAACATCTGTAAAGAGAAAAGACGGTTGCATGGTTTTGCAACTGTTTAAATAAACGTTTCATACTGAGCATTGTGTTGACATTCTAACCTGAGAAAACTAATTAACTGTTTATCCTGAAAATAGTCCTTGATGGGTATTTTATGATTTCTCAGCTTACCTAACATACAACATGTAATTGTATGCTACTCAAAATAATGTGCTTTTTAAGAGTCAAAGCCAGGGTGTGAGAGGACTGTTATATCAAAGATCAGCTTCAGTCTGTGGCTTGGCCTTGAGACGTCTGGAAATCCAGCAGGAATGAGTATAGCTTTACACCTTCAGGGAAAAACCTTAAAACCAGATACTGTGTTTTAGGTCCAGCACAAATCATTACAGCATCATGACAGACGTTTATTATCTCTGCCTTAAAGTTGGTTTGAATAGGCCTTGGGAGGTTTTGTTTTTCTTAGTTTAAAAAGTTTAAATTGGCCATACATTGTGTTCTTGAAGAATAAACCCCATTTTGAAATATAACACTCTATGGAAGCAATGCTCTGCCTCCAACATATTCATTGCAGGTACTGTACATACAGCCCAACAATTTCTCATTTTAAAATTGACACACCAAGTGAAGCTATGGTTCACTCCACTTATGAGACATACTGTGAAAAATAGTGCCGGACAGTTGTAATAACTGTCCACCGTCAATGCAAATATAAAAAATTAAAGCCTAGGGGATAAATGCATGTACTGTATAAGCTCTGAAGCAGCAGTAGTTTGCCTTTTTAAAGTATTCTCTGTTTGTGCTTCCTGATATGAAAGAGCCACTGACTCGTGTAATAACTCCTTTGGGTCCTTCACACTGTTTTACCAATGGTTTGCATTTTTCACAGCCCAGGAACCTTTTCCAATAATCTTAATCATGAATATTCTATATGCAGAAATACAGGAGGGTTTGGTGGAAAATAAGACATGCTGATATTCCAGTGTTTTCATTCAAAGGCATGGTTCTGCAAAGCACTATTGCATAAATAGCTTTCCCCTTTGCCTAGACAAGTTACTTCTTTCTGCGGGAATAACAAAAGTTGGAGCTGCCACGGGTAGATTTTCGATAAAACAGAACAAATCTTCTGAAATTCCCTCAAAATATGGTATGACAGACTTCTCAATCCTTCTCAGTACTATCCCTGGGGTTACTGGCGAGGTGTGATTGACAGGATCCGAGTCATGCCTCATTGAATCGATTGGTTTCCAACACATAGTTACTTTATACTAGACCTATAGGGAAGCTACACCATTTTCTGGTTGAGAGATGGAGCGATTTGTGGGGCCCAACCGTGTGTTATGTGTACAATATAAACACAGGAACATTGGGGAATCAGCAGAGGTCTGGTAGAAAGACTTCAATGTACACACTTTTCTTCTCTCTCTCCACGCTCGTTTTAAGATCAGCCACCTGCTTGGAGCTGCAGCGCTGAAACCTCTAGAGATGTTTTAATACGTTTTAATACACATATCTCTTAATCAATGGATTAACATGTGTACACACGTCTATATTCACAAGGTTTTAGACCATGTTAATTATCCCTTTCATGATTTGACTGACAGATGGCGCAGATTATGTATAGATAAGGTTGTTAAACTAAGTCTTGAAATAGGTACATTAATAAGTGTATAAAGGATTTTTTGGGGGACTACACAACTTCATGAAGCATGTCCTACTCCTACCCCAGTGAATCTGATTAGAAATTGGGTACCTGTCTTCAGGCACAAAGGACCTCTTCTCAGGTGATTTGTGGCCATTATGCACATGTGAACTATAAGTAGATGAGACTGGAGGTCAGCTTTGGTATAATTGATGGCTCTCCCACATTGCCCCTTAAAAGAAGAATAATAAATGAGTGAATCCTTAACCACTGTCCAACAACTGTCCAATTGTATTTTCAGTTTTTTTCTCAATAGACCTCTTTTAGTAAAGGACTGACGCTTCAACATCATGCAGGGTGTGTATTTCCCTTTGAAGGTTAGAGAGAGCAAACCACAGAGGACCACAGGGCGCTACTGTTACCATTATTCATACAATTACAAATTGTACCATATTATTTCAATGTGCGGTAGTTGTCTGTTTTGTAGAGGTATCCTGATTTCAGTTGGGTTTTTCTGAAAACAAATCCTATAATATCGTTAGAGAGGAAGTAAGCCTCACCGCAAAGATAAGAAGCCATGCAGAAGTCTGTCAACTACATCTGAATATGAGACGATCCGGGCCACAGGCCAAACACAAGGGTGAGAGCTCTGCTGGGATTCGGAACAAAGTACACCCATGTACCTCTTCATGCTCAACCATATACGTTTACATATGGAAGTTTGTTCTCAGACAGGCTAAGCATAGAGGACAAACAGCCTTGTTTTAGTGTAGGCTTTGACACAAATCAGAGGTTCACGTTATAAATGTTTAAGGAAATAGGAAAAGTGCACCAAAAATACTGGAGCAAATGTAGTCAACAAATGACTAGATTTCTAAAAGTGTATTTATTAGGTCTTATTACATGGCTTAGTTGAATACTCGATTCTGATTGGTCAATTCTGAACATGAGACACGTTGTTAATCCAGAACAGACAGACCGCTGTCAAGGATTTATTGACCGTTGTTAAGGACGCTCACATCTGCAGAAAGAAGTTCGGTCGATTTAACTGTACACAGTTTGGCCGAAAAGCAAACTGCATGCAGCAAACTGCTGTTTGCTTTTCAAACTGACAAGACAAGAGGAACAAGAAAACAGCGGAGAAGTAACGGGGCAGAAACCTACGGTGGCCCTGAAGTGCAAGTCAAAACAGCATTTCCGAAAACACCACAGCATTTCACAAAACGCTATCGAAGCATTTCCTGCCGTTGCTACGTAGTTCAAACAGTAACAACGGACTTTTTTTCTTAGTGGATGCATGTCATTTTAAACAAATAATAGCCTACTATTTTTTTAAATCTATAAAAACATTTTCTATATCTATTAAAGCATTTCAATTAATATTGGGAGTCATATCGTTACTTTGTTGAGAATGTGGTCATGTAATAAGCGGGATAATGTGCAGCGACTTAGCTGTTCAAGATCATTGAACAGCTTCGCGTCGGGCTCCTGATCTGCCTGTCGGGTGTTCTTTTCCCCATAATGACCGCCTCGCTGCACATTATCCCTTACTTGAAGGATCACTTCTTGCCACTACAAGCTTTTCATCTGGGTATTGTATTTGGGCAAATGGAGTCAACAAATGAGTCAGAAGTAGATTTCTAAAAGTGCACTTATTAGGTCTTGAATAATCACTTGTTGCCTCTACAAGCTTTTAATTTGGGTATTCCTCCATAGAAGAGACTACTGTGTATTGTCCTTCTCATAGCTGATGACTGATGTGAGCCGTTCTTGTATCTCTTGTAACACAGCTCACAATGGACACTGTAACAGAAGGCATTTGTTTTTCTGATGAGTATAAAGTGAACAACTTTCATGTACCAATTAATCAGGGAACTTTGCAGAGGATGCTGGTTCTCTTTCTTTTGCACATGAACAATGCACTCACTGTCTTACTTGGTTGACCAGTCCTCGGCGGTAGTTTGAGATACAATACAACGCACCAAATGACCTTGTTTGTTTTTGCCTCCTTAAAGCATCATGCAATCAATAGTTCTTTTTTTGTGAACCATTCAGTTGTCCTTGGGTAACATTGTAATCTTGTTATGGACACATTTACTCAGCTTTCCTAAAAAGCCAAATCTTGTCTTGTATTAATTCAGTTCATCCCTGTGGAGCAACTATAATTTTCCCTATTGTTGACCAGCAGTTAGGTGTCTTCTCACGGTGAACCAAAGTAAGGAGTTGAGATCATTAGCACTTTTGTAAGGATTTAATTTGAGCACTTTGGCCCTAGGGACACATCTGCACATGAGGAAGCAGATCAAAGAGATTACAAGTTTAAGAGCAAGCTGATAAAAAGTCTTCTCAAGGGCCGTTGTGTTTCTCCTTTATTAATGCTGCTCAGAGGTTAAATTAGAGTTTATTATGAGGATAGGTGGGAGGGGGTTTTATTTCAGATTTGCAGCATAGTTAGGCCATGTCAGTGACCTAATTTGGATTCAAAAAAACATTTCCACTGGGTCTTTTCTTTCAAAGAGGAAGGACTGTTACTGTTTTTCTCACCAATGAGCATTCTCAATTCTCAACATAGCAGTTACATTGTTTATTCTGAATATCAGAGATAACTGCTTGTTTATATGCTTTTGTAGGCAGTTTAATATCACGACTTAAATGTACAGAATCATATTGTAAGTGTAAAAAACACTGTCTGCTGGGATGTACCTCTTCCTGATAACTTTCAGAATGCAATAGGCCAACGCTGACCCTAAAATAACCCACGACTCATATCTTCGCAGATTTTACGATATAAAATCAGTATATATTTGACCTTTTACCACATTTTGCTTTAAGGATTCTACTTGGTGTGTTGTCATGGTTATGCTGTTACATTCATTATGTAGAGTTGGATTATTCAAATCGTTATGTTTAACTTGCTAAGCCTAAAGTGGCTCATTTATGCATGGGTACCCAGAGACAGATTGCTATCCTTCCTCTGTCTAAACCTGTAATAAGCCTGCTGCGATAATCTATCAGAGACTTTTCTCAAACAAATTTGAAATCCAAATTCCCCTGCAGTAGTAGTGCTGTTATGCTAATTTGTTGTGCTTGTGTACCTTCTGATTACTGTGCAGCCTTGAGCACCTGAAATGTATTTGCTCTTGTTCATCCTCTTTTCTGTCCTTGCTAGGTCAACAGCTTTGATGTACTCAATGCCTCTCACAGCCATAAGAGCCCATTCTGACAAATATGTTTGTAGTGTTAGCATCCCCTTCTTTCTCCCTCATTTCATTTTCTTTTTAACACAGTTTCTTGCTCCATGTGGCTCTGGATATACTCAAAAATCTGCCTTTTGAATCTTTCAGAGACCCAGATCCCCCATGGCTTCCCCACTATCGATATGGGTCCCCAGCTGAAGGTGGTTGAGAAGACCAGAACTGCCACCATGCTGTGTGCCGCCAGCGGAAACCCAGACCCAGAGATAACCTGGTACAAGGACATGCTTCCTGTGGACATCAGCAGCAGCAACGGGCGCATTAAACAGCTTCGTTCAGGTAAAATCTCATCTGATCTCATTTCTTTATTGTGTTACTCTACATGACATACTGATAGTGTCACTATAGCAAAGTCAAGTAGCAGAATACCAAGTAGTGATGAATATCAACAGACATGAGGCACACAAGACCTGAGGATGATGTGAAAACACAAAAGTCCTTTGTTGTCTTGTATGACTTCATGTATTCTCTTTTATCACAAAGGACATGAAAATCTTATTCAGCGATTGTCACCTTGGTTAGTAAGATGACTTCTAACAGAATTGTATTTCTCGAAGCTGCAGCCACTTATAAAGTTACACAGAAGTTGGAATAAAGTTATTCTTGTGCAATCTTTGACAGTGATGCATGAGCTTGTAACATCCAAAGCACAGAAAGATATTTTTCACTATATTAAATAATCCTTAATTCCTCTTTGAACAGGCAGCTGGGTGACAATGAGGCCAGCCATGTAAGCATTAGCTAGGATTCAACTTTACAAAAAATACAACTGCTACAGTATGAGGTGTTAGTCACAGTCCACTTGATGAAGTAACTGCGCTTGCCTGACCTGGATCAGATGGAAAAGGTGCAAGGTGGATAGATTAGTGGCTTTTGACCCGATTCAGTCTTTGCGACTCCTTAGTCAATCTACCTCACTTACAGAGTCAGAGTGTAAGGCCAGGCTACAGTTCCCAAAGATTAGAGATGAGAGCTACTCCAGAAAAAGCCTGGCACTACAGCTGCCAAGTGGAAGTTGAATACAGGTCACTGGAGCATGTTCCCTTTGCGCTGCCCATGTTCTCGCAGTATTAAAACGCTGCCCTACCAAACACACATCCCCAATTAGATACAGATTGCTCGCAAATTAAATAATAACACAACTACTTAATTGTTTGATAGTGTTTTTTAAAACAATGATAAACTATGCCTTAAACCATATTTTATATATATATTTCTAGCTACAAACTTTTAATTAGTTTTCTTTCTCGCAAATAGTGAGTGCCTGAAAAACTTCTGATAAGTAATGCCCCCAGACAGACAATTCTTTCTCTCCACAACCCTTTTTTGACATCTGGTGCCGTTTCATGATTAACAATACGGCATAAGCTATATGGTCTAAAAGGGGGCGAATTCTGTAATTGTCAAAAAAGGTGCATTCATTTGCTGCAGTTAAACAGAAAAGCTGAGCCAGTTCCTCCTATTACTGTATACCACAATATGTTAGTCAGCACACAGGAACATTAGCTCTTTCTTTCCACACCATAAATCATTCACTTTGTTGAAATACTAACCTCTTTTCAATTTAATACCTCTGACCTGAATACATTTTGCTGTGCATCTTTCTATTTACTGTGTATGACTTTCATTCATTTCTCTTGCCCATTTTACTAACGACTTTCTGCAAAAATGCATTCTGTACACAGAGTAAGGCCATCTTAAATTAGAAAGATTTGTATAAAAATGCTTTAATTTAATGCAATTGTAATGCTACTATGAAGTACATATGTGGCTGTAGCTGTTGTCTGTAAATGCAAAAGTAGCAGCAATATATTATAAAATGTTTTGCTAGTCGAAAAAATATATTTCTTTCATAGCATTGATTAAGTGCACTTGTCACATTACATTTAAGTGGCGTCTACTCTGTATCAGTTTTTATTTTCCTTTTTATATGTGGCTTGTCAGAAGCCATGTTTTTCTCTCCCACTTATATAAGTGGATTTCTAACTAATCTCTCAACCCTTTTTGCATTGAAATTACTCCCACCTAGGTGGTACACCAATTAGAGGTAAGGATGATGAAGTGTGTTGGAAAATATCACATCCACACCATTCCCTCACATCCACATCAGACCCCTGCATTCCCCCCCAAACGCCACATCACCAGGTTCACACCCTCTTCCCCATCCGTCTCCTCCCGACATCCTGTCTGCTGTCTGCTCGCTAACAAACAAATGATCACCAACCCTCATGTCAGGGTAATGCAATAGCAAGTCCAAGGTGTTATCTTTTAAATGAGCTTTTTAAAGCCCCTCCTACACTGTTAGAAATAAACCTTATTTATAAACAATTCACACGCATTCACATCTTTCTGCATCAGCTTCTCGTCTGGCTTTTGAGCGAAAGAGGCGAGGAGTTGCATTTTAAACTAAAGGCCAACGTGGCCACAAGAGATCGTTAAGGTGGAAGCTTCAGCCCCTTTTTATGGTAATCATGTGCTTTTCCCCTGAATGAAAGCATGATTTCCTTCCACAACATGGATGTAAATAGTGGACGCTTGGGGCCAGCTGTCTGTCTCACTGTCCATGAGTCCTTGGCCCCTAATAAAGCCCATATTCCTATGTTTAACTCTTTGAGGTGGCTATATGGCAGCCTCTGTTCCCCTTGACTTATTTTGCCACTGAAATGAGCTTGTAGAAGATCCATTGTTTAAGAAGTTGAAAGTAATTTAAAGCAGTTTTGCATTGCAGCTCTGACAACTGCCATGGCGATAACCTTGTACATTTCTGAAGTACTCACACTGTTTTCTCCCATGGGAAGGGGCAGATTGACAGATTGGTGACACCAGCATTAGTATGCAGGCGCATGTCATTGCTGAATCAGACAGTGCTGAGCTCAGTGTGCAAAGCAAACACCTTGGAGAGATATGTTGTCATGAGATCTGAGGTGATGTTATCACATGTCTCTGCCCCGCCCTGTTTCACTTCTCTGTTTTGGTCTCGTCTTGATCCGAGTCCCCTTTGGTTGGTGATGAACCTGTTTGTTGTATTCATCTCATACTGCATGATGTGAAAAAAATGTATCCTGACATCATCGTACGCTGAGTATTTTTGTCATTTCAAACAGCATGGTGGCTGTCTGCTAGTGCCATGCTGTTTTGAGACTTGATCAATGTTATCACTCACTTGTGACACACATATGTACTGCTGGGTGATGTCGTCTGGTTGTTAAACATGTGTTTTTTAAATTGTGGGATTCAGGTAAGTTTTGCTGTTTTAGGTCTCTATTTGTATTTGTCAAATGTATTAATAATGATATGATGGTTATAGACATGGTGTGTCAAAATGACCACACAGAAACATGTCTCCTGGGCGTTCATGCTTTGTCAGAAACAACATGTTAGCCTTCTGTCTGATGACAACGGCTTTTTGAGATAGTGAATACTAATCTAAGCCATCTGGCAGAGGAGCACCTCCCTTAAGGGCTTCGTTGAGACATGATGAAAAAACACAATTATGACCTCAATGCTAAATACCTGATCAACAAAGATACCTGCACCGCCTTTTGCTTTGTTGCAATTCTTAGGCCCTCAAGAAGAAAAAAAACGTAATCAACAGTTTAGACATAAGTCACATTTACCTTTATATCAGTTTAGTTGGATATGGTTGCATTAAACAATTAGGATATACAAACACATTATTTACTCTTAGCTGATAATCAGAATACTTAATCAGATTAGAATTTCTCTTGAGGCCCATAAGTGGAAATGATGTCCTTTGGTTAAACTGTGTAACACACATATTGCACAGTTGTTAGTATTAAGCAGTAGGCTGGTTAGTTGTATTGGATATTAACATCATATGTTATCCATCCGTCTGCTTTTGTTGTGTTTATTTTTCAGTAGAGCCCTTTTCCTGGCTGAGATAGATTACACAAACACTTTGGTTTGTCAATTATTTCCATAAGAGGATGCCTAATGAGACTTTGACGGTTGTGACATGTTATTTAGATGATTAATTGACCTTCAGTCATGGTCCCTTTTTTTCTCCTTAACACGACTAGGGAAATATTCTGTTAGCAGGTTCATTAAATTCGTCAAATCAGCTAAATGTTAATGTTGTCGTAAACCATTTATTGACAAAACTGCGTCTATGTAAGGGCTCTAAATGATGCATGAACTGGGTTAGGCTAGTTGACTACAGGCTCTCTAGCGAGTCACTGTACATATATCTGCTGTGGTTTCATGCCAAATTACATCTCATATTCCACAACTGTCAAGACGGCTAAATGTGTTAATCCTCTACGCAGGAGCTCTGCAAATCGAGATCAGCGAGGAGTCCGACCAAGGAAAATATGAATGTGTTGCCTTGAACAGCGCTGGGACCCGTTACTCATCTCCTGCCAATCTCTACGTACGAGGTAAAGTCAAGTTGTCTCTCTCAATTCTTGAATCCTCTTAACAATCTGTCATTTCTGTTGTTTCAAACCCCAAACTGCCTTGCAAAGAACATCCCGCCTGCTTTATCCTTAATGTTCATGCCTTTAGTCAATGTGCTTTCAAAGGTACTGCCACACAGGTGATTTCACTTATTGTGTACTGTATGATAATAACTCTTCTCAGGAGTGTGTTGAAGTGTGCAGGCTGTGTTTGATTGACATCTTTCCCACCCTCCTATCAGCGTTGTTGCACATGTCACCTGGGACAAACAACATCTTTGTAATTCTTATTGGTGCGTGGAGTAACTCAGCATGGCTCTGCCCGCCTTTAAACCTGAACAGAGCTCTAATTATCCGATGCTTGAAAACACCTGTTAAAACACAGTGCCTTTGACAGTTGTGTAATTTCCACATTTGATGTATGCCATTATTGCTCTCTTTTTCTTTCCCACAACCAATTCTTTAACCGTTATCCTTGCCATGCTTTTCCTCCCAATGAGTTAAACTAACCTCGACCTCCTGTTGGCCTGCGAATTCGGACAGGTGCCGCCGCTGTGAAAAGCAGCTGCATTGAAAACACTTTCTCCGCTGGCGTTGAAACCAATGCCAGACCTCCTTTCTTTTTTATTTTGACTGTATCAAAAGGCTCCATTATTGGGCTCCCCCCCCCCGCACTACTCAGAGCTCCTGAAGGCATGGAGGGGTCTGGAGTTCCAGGGTTTGTTTTTGTTGTGGTGTCTCTGTGAGCAGACTAATGCAGGGCAAGGGCCGCATTGTACCTATCCTGGAAAGAGCTGGTATAGTAGAGAGAGTAGTCTAGGTCAGACCCTGAGGATAACACTATGTCTGATGTACATGAAACAGAATAGCTTCTCCAGTTGTTAGTGTGGGTTGAGGAGGAAGGGAGGGTGGGAGTAAAAGTGTCAGGGTAAGAAAAAGACTCTGCTTCATAATATTTGTTAAAGCATACAGTAGTATATCAGACGGGCTCTGGTATGGTTGATAGTACCATTGTCTTTTTTCATCCATCAAGATCAAATAAATATGTCTCTTATACCTTATACAAGAAAATACAAAACACTATTTAGGAAATGTTCAACTATGTTAAGGGAACAATTTTTCCTAAAGAATCCTATCACTTAAATATCACTACTCGTGTATGGAATCAGTATTTTTCATGTACTGTAGGATTGTAGCCAAAAGATCAGAGGAAGGTAAAATCGTCCTCAAGGACTAGAGCGGCATCAAATACACAGATTAAACACTGTGGGCTCCAGAAGGTTTAGATCTTAAATCTTGACAGGGGGAGGTAGTCAGCCAAACAACCAAGGGGAGGGAGGGATGTAAGTCTCGCCTATTAATCAGGGCATGTCTGTCACAGGTGCAAACGCAGCTTTTTTTCCCCCACAGAGGTAATTACAGTATTTGTGTGGCGTGGCGCCAGCAGGGGCCTCGGGCCCAGCTAGTCTGTAACACCACCCAGGTAGCTGTCAACCCATTGGCCCCCGACACCAACTTCTCTGCCAGCCCCACCACACCAGTGGAGAGATAGAAATCAAACCAAGCGTAACCTTTTAAAAGTGTACTTGTCTGGAAGGGAGAACAAAGGCTCCAGCCATGTTTTCATTCCGTCTTTGTGACTGCTGCAGGAATGAGGAGACGAGACCCGGGGCTGAGCTATCACCGGCCCGCCTGATTGGGTTTGAAACATGAGCGACTGAAGACAATTGGCCTTTGACATGCTTCTCTTCTTTTCCTGTTGTTATTGCTTTTGTTTTTATCCTGAGACACCAGAGGGGAGACTTAGGGACTGACAACATCTGCTTTCAAAGTTGAAAACATAACAAGCCTTGAAAGCAAACATGTCATTTGACAATTGTTACATTTCACAGTGCTGATGTGTAGCAGCAGGCTGTGAAAACGATCTTGAGTCCAATCTTCAAGCACAAAATACAAATTACACTTGATATGAACAAATAAATAATATAATGTCACAATTATAAATGCATATTGATGTACAACATATTGTAGCAGTGCTAAATACAGTGTTTAATATTCCTTTTATACTGCTGAGTAAACTATGAGAATATATCACTTGAATCAAATAAACACCTTCTAAGAATTACATTCCCCCCGGTTAGAACACCAAGTGTAGCCTGAAATGTCAATAACGTAAGCACTACTTGAAGGTGACTTGAAAAGATTACTATTGGAGAACGAATCGTGGTATTATTCTCTCTCATCCCCTTTCTAACACCCGCCCACACCCGCACACACTCCTGACAGACTTGCATTAAGTGGCTTGTTATTGGTTGGTGTCTGCGAATCTGTTTCTGTGTTTTTCCACTTACCGTAGCTACCTGATCCAATTCCTGTTTGCAGGTACACAAACATACTGCCAGCATCACCCCTTTCTTGACATTTAAGAGCCACAAAAGAATGATGTCCTCATATTTCTGTGTGGGAGGGGAGAGAGTGAGACTAAAGGAGGATTTGAGGGGCTGCTCATGGATGGTTTTCCCCTTATTATCTGTGCATTTGTTTACGTCCTTCCACTTCTCATCCATTAAGAGTGTGTACTTGTTTGTAGGTGTGCAGGTGCACCCTGTTTGCTGTTGGTCGCTTTTGGTGACCCTCCAAAGGTGGACTCCATCAACGTGGGCAGAAAGAGTGATCATTTATCAAGTGCTTATCCCACAACGGAGGAGGGATGTCAGCTTCTGTCTGCCGGCTCTCCTTCATATATCCATGTGACATGTCAATATGTCACAGAGGATAAAGTGCTGCAGTCTGGCTTTTCTTTTACGAAAACATCTTCATGCTGTTCTATGTGTGTGTGTGTGTGTGTGTGTGTGTGTGTGTGTGTGTGTGTGTGTGTGTGTGTGTGTGGGTGTCAAGGAGGGAAACTTACAAAACGATGAATCCAGGAATATTTGATGGAGAAAAATAGTTGGAAACAGCTCTCTAAGTGTGAGAAATGCCCTTTCAGCGTCTCCTTAATGATACACAATTATGCAACAAAATTGAATATTGATCAACAACTTATAAGTTATATTATCAAAGATGTGTGAACTGCAATACAGAAGGGTATAGATTCAAATGAAAAACAACAAAATATGATATAAAGTTTCCCTCCCTGATAGCGATGTATGCATTACTTGCCTGTCTTTGCCATGTCACTAACCTCCACTGTGTCAACACAAGCACTTTCCTGTTTCACTGTGTTGTCTTCCTCTCCACTCTGTGTCTCTCATTCCATTGCTCACCTTCATCAAATCACTTCATCCGCAAAAAGATCAACGTGGAGGTTGGTCATTTTCACTTTTAATCCCCTCCCTTTCAATTTGATGCAGACTGTAGGTGAGGTCAGCCCATCCTTCCCAGCGCCTCTAAAGCAGACAGTGATATCCCTTCCTTTAAAAAAACAAAATATGTGTAATAGCGCTCCCTCCCTCCCACCCATGCTAGTGTAACAGTGTTTGCATGAATCCCTGAATAGTTGTGCATGCCTTCCAACGCCACTCCCCCAAAGCGTGTTTCGATTAGCCTCCCCAAGACACACAAGCATTCCCCATGAAGTCATTATTAAACCTCTCTTATGTTATGTTATATGCATTCTTCCCAACCACACCCTTAGCGTCAATCTCAACAACTTCTACCAAAACCTATAGTTCCTTTCAGCCTCAGACTTTCCATCCGCCTCCGTCAGCCTATCAGAGGTGTGTCATGGATTACTCTGGTATTCAGGTGGCAACCGGATTTGTCAGGTATTTAGCAGCAACGCCCCTGCTCTCCCACTGAGAGACATGGGTATCAGAACTGACAAAGCCCTCCTCTGGAGATTATGTCTGTTTTGCCGCCATGGGCATCCTTTAGTAAGAGACTGACGGGTGTGACGGGCTAACACGCAAATGTTAGCGTAATGAGATGACTGTCTTCATGAGATGTTGTAGCAGGAGGCCCTGGAGAATCTTTGAACAAAAGTGTATACGTTTTTTTACTGTAAACATTTTGAAAAAAATCAAAACCAAATTTGACTGTTTAATGTCTGACCATTTCAACTTTTTAATAGCAATACATGTGGTCCACACACTGAACCTGTTTTTTTAACTTCATTGATTATGATATTGACCTAACTGAGCTAATGTTTTGGAAATGATCCCTCCTCTTACTACACTGCTGACCTATAGAATATTTAAGAATGAGCTGGCAGTGGGGATGATCAACCATCATGGCAGCATCGTCGCCCTGTTCTGCTGCCAGGAAGCCTCGGAGCCCGCTGACTCTCTGCCAGTTTGCTCAAATATTGATTGACTGGACAGGTTCTGCTATCCTTGGGCACTTTGTCAAGGCAGTTAAATGTATAGGTATCCAGCAAGCAGGCATGCAGAGTGGAGACAGGGCTTATTTTGTGGTTTTGATAGAGTCCCCCGAAGCCGCTCTCAACAGGAGAGAGGCTTCGGGGGAATCGATAACAATTACCTGCCCTCTAGTCATTTTGTTCCACAGCACCTCTCCAAACTTAACCGCACGCCATGAATTATTCACAACATTAAGTGTTCAATATACACAGGCCCCATTGACTGACTGCTCTTAGCACGGTTTAGTCTATGGAATCATGAACGAATAACAGATACTCCGAGCTTAATGGTCTTACATTAGGCCTGATCCTCTCAGGTTTCTCTTCTTCAAAAGCATATGTTGTAAAAAAGAAAAAAAGCAGCACTTGGGGAATGTTACAGTTGTGTGAGAACTCATGTCACTAGCATTAGTGGAACAGTATCGTTTCTCTCGAAATATTCAAAGGAAAGTCTGTTGTGCATTAGTCATACTGAAAATCAGATGTTCAGTCATTTATAGGAGAACATTTGACCAAGTTCCCACTTCTCTTCCTCTCCCAGCGTACTCAGACTCAGATCCTATCCCGTATCTTCCCTCTGCTCCTGTGCATGCTCTGCTTGAAAATGTCGTCCCTGTCCTGTTCCCAGGCTGGTCTCACTGCTCCTCCTGTCCACTGATTTCATTTCAAAAGCAACCTCAGAGAGCCGACGTCATCATGGCTGATGTTGATCTTTCTGGACTGTTAATGTGTGTCTCTTTTTTCCTGCATGAATCCTTTCTCTATGAAGAAACTCTCTAAAGTTGTGCCCTCTTGTTCATTGAGTCACTTTGTAAACTTTACATTAATATGAATTTGCTGCGGTCATCATTACTCAGTCCTTCGCCTTTGCTGACCTCCTTACCGTTCCCAGTGTTTAATTGTTTTCATTTTGTGCCACACACTCGAAACGATTAGTTGTTATAAAATAAACTGCAACGTTTTGATTGATCTGGGTAATTGTGTGAAACAAACAAAAGCCCAAATCCCTAAAAGTGTATGTGTTGTGGCTGAGACTCAGGGTATTAATATTTGAATGAGATATCGAGCTAGGTGGTTTAAGCCTGCATGATTGTATTGATTTAAAACAAAAAATAGCAGCAGCAGTCTTCTATACATGGCACCTAAATTATTTTTGGGAAAATTCAGAACCAGTTCCCCCTTATTATGGTACAGTCCAGAGAACCAGCCTTCCCCTGACTGGAATCTCAAAAGGTGCTTTTGTGTTTTTTTTCATGTCACCACATAATGAGGGGAATAACAAGCATGGCTATAACAACGTTGTGGTTCAAATTAGATTGGGGAGGGAGCGGTGACCAGTGCAAAAGAGCAATTACAGTCAAGGACTTTTTTTCCAGAGAGACACAGAGATGTTGTAGTGCATTAGGGAAACAAGAAGTATGAATTCTGTGGGGGTAGTGTATGCTGTTTTTAAAAAAAATAAACGTACAACCAGAAGTCATAGGATAGCAATAATGGGTTCTCACTAGGGAGCTAAATGTTTGACTTGGCTTCATTTTCTCTATAATCAAGGTTAAAGAAATCAGAAACCTTTCCTACATCATTTACAGTGGAAATGTACAGCATATCAAACATTTACCAGGTCTGACACTGATGGATGTTTACATAGCACTGTCAAGTTTGATTTGATTTGCCATGTCAAGCGGATAACTGTTATGGTTGCCAAAAGGTTACCCGAAAAAGTTCAGAGGTGTGTAAATATGGCAGGCATTTCTTGTGTACCTTTTATTTAGATGGTAAACAAATCATATGTAAATGCTGGCAGCCTGTTTATTCTGGGCAAGCTTTTCAGTATTGCATGGAGCCTCTGCATCGGTGTTTGCCTAGTCCCTGGCGACGTCAACCGGCCCTTCTTGTCTCCATGGGAACCCTTTTTAATGTCAGCCTATCTGCATATCAGAACTGCACAAAGAGAGGCAGAAAGACAGGCTGAGCAGAAGGAGCCAGAGAGAGGGAGCGGGAGGAGAAATCAAACAATGCCATCTCCACAGGGTCCCTCAATGATGCAACTCTGGCTACCATTTGACACTCTGACAAAAGAGGGCCAGACATATTCTCCAGCAAAACTGGGCTATTTTTTGCTTATACCCCCTTTTGTAGGCAGGAGGATAGAACACCCCCTCAAAGTTTTTCTTCTGAATTGCCAGAGCCATTTTGTGACAGTCCCATTATTCCCATTGTGCCCGTCTGCACATTAGTACAAAAGCAATCAGCCCTCTGTTCGGGCAGCTTTTCTGAGTTAGCTTTTAGCCTTGAGGTAGAGCGAGACCATTCATGAAATCTTAGAAAACTGTCATATCCTCCTGTCATATCCTAACTATTCACTATTTCCTCCTGCTTCTTTTCATCCCCTCAGTACGAAGAGTCCCACCCAGATTCTCCATTCCCCCCACCAACCAAGAGGTGATGCCGGGCGGCAGCGTCAACCTGACATGTGTGGCAGTTGGCTCGCCCATGCCCTATGTAAAGTGGAAGACTGGGGAAACTGATATCACCAAGGAGGAGGACATGCCTATGGGACGCAACGTGCTGGAGGTCATCAACATCCTCGTGTCGGCCAACTACACCTGCGTGGCCATCTCCCCTCTGGGCATGATAGAAGCCACCGCCCAGGTCACTGTCAAAGGTGAGGACATGTTGTTAAACTTTACCATTGATTTGAGTCACCCTCAGATCTGATAATTACATTTTGTAAAACAGAATAAACCACCTAAGGCCACTGGAACTTTCTGAACATAATCAGGTGGCTGTGGCTCAGTGGATAGAGTGCTGGACTTTGAATCAGGGGGTAGCGGGTTCGAGTCCCACTGCAGTCAGCATGTAGTTGTGTCCCTGGGCAAGACACTTCACGCCAAATTGCTCTTGGGGATTGTCCACAGTACTGAATGTAAGGCACTTTGGATAAAAGCGTCTAACAAATGACATGTAATGTAATAATCATCACTGCTGGCCTTGTGCTGTAGCATTTGGCTTTTGTTGACGCTGAGAGGTACAAATGCTATTTGCAATCTTTTTCTCAATGAGCATCGATGTCACGGCTGGTATGCATTTATTTCTTTGTGTTTCTTTGAGTCCTTTCTTTCTTAATCTAAGAGTTTGTGTGAAAGTGGCTCTGTGTTTGTGACCATGCAAGTGTGTTGTCTATCCATCGCAGTCTTTCTTATCAGTTGTAGTCTGTATTGATCCCACTTATGCCTCAACTAATCGATACACAGTTATTTAGAGAGTCCACAGTAAAGCAGACCCTCTGTTTGGTTTGTTTTTGTTGTACAGTCAAAACGGGAACCGCTCTTGCAATTTTCTTGTATTGTCGGTAATGACCAGGCCGGTGAAGAAATACGAAATTGAGTTTTCATTCTAGCTTTTCTATTCATGTGGGGATAATGGCTGCTGACAGCACTATAAGGATTAGCTTATGAAACGATCATTTCACTGCTATGAGTTACTGAATGGAGAATTACATGACCAGTCATGCCTTTTCTCCACAAGAGCTGATTTGAGCTATATTGTGCCTACATTTTGAGAGTTTCAAATGTGTCAGACATCCAATTTCTCTCCAATTACCCACATGTCCAAAAAATAAAAGCCTATTCTTAATATCAAAGCTAATACCATGTTTCTCTTTCCTCAGCATTGCCAAAGCCCCCCGCCTCGCTCATTGTGACGGAGACCACAGCCACGAGTGTGACTCTCACCTGGGACTCTGGGAACCCAGAACCCGTCTCCTACTACATGATCCAGTACAAAGCCAAGTCCTCAGAGAATGGCTTCCAGGAAGTGGAAGGTGTGGCAACTACCCGTTACAGCATTGGTGGACTTAGCCCCTACTCCGAGTATGAGTTTCGTGTCATGGCTGTCAACAACATTGGCCGCGGGCCGCCAAGCGACCCCGTGGAGACTCGCACCGGTGAGCAGGCCCCCTCCTCGCCACCTCTGCATGTCCAAGCGCGCATGCTGAGTGCCAGCACAATGCTGGTGCAGTGGGAACCGCCCGAGGAACCCAACGGGCAGATCCGGGGCTACCGGGTTTACTATAGCTCGGATCTGACTGCTCCGCTCAGCGCCTGGCAGAAACACAACACCGACGACAGCAGCCTGACTACCATCTCAGGCTTGACTCCTGATATCACCTACAGCCTCAGGGTGCTGGGCTTCACCTCTGTAGGAGACGGGCCACCTTCTGACGTCCTGCAAGTCAAAACCCAGCAGGGAGGTGAGCAGCCAACCACTGCGTGTGTTCATAATATGTAAAGATGCCTTCGGTTAGGCATGCATAGTTAGCTGAAGTAATTTATGTGTTTTTCAGCGTTGAATGTATTGCATGTTACTACAACACATTTTAAATAATATTTGTCTTTTTGTTTGGTTCTAAGCTGCAAATGCTTTTTCATAAGGTCTCCGCTTTTGGGAATTGGTTATTGCTGCTGACACTGTGGAGAACATTCAGCTTTAGTAACGTGCTTTTCTTTTTGTTCCATTCATTGTTTAACCTCTCGCCCCTCTGTACCCAGTCCCTGCCCAGCCGTCCAGCTTTGAGGCCGATGCCGAGCTCGACAACCGCATCATGCTAACATGGCTGTGGCCCGTACAGGACCCCATAACTAAGTATGAGCTGGAGTACTGGGAGTCCGGCTCGGAGACCAAGGTTAGAATAACAACATGAAGTTTAACTTTTGTATAACCTAGTTTTTCTCTCCTACAGAGCATTTTCTTTATCATTCCATCTATCTATCTATATTCTATGTATCTATCTATCTATATATCTTCTATTCATCTATCTATCCATCGGTCTATCTGCTGTATCTCATTTGCACGAGGATCCATCTTGCATTTTATGATGCAATTTCTCTGAATTGGAAGCCTCATCTGCAGCAATGTTATTGTAGTAATGCCGGCAACTCCCCAGCCGATGTGAAATATTTACTGTGGTAACAGACAGCAAAGTTGTTTGGTTCTGCCTCTCTGTCTGGTAGCCCTGTGTTCAACTCTGCTGGACCACTGCACCAGTTGTAAACTAGAGGACAATTTGTATTTGGAACGAGCTGCTCTCACATTTGGCTGCGTGCTCTGCTTTGTGTGCCTGTAGGAAGGAGACACAGCAGTCGAGGCTTTAGGATTTCAGTGGGAGATTATTTCCTCCATGTCAAAACAATTCAACAACTACTACCCATATAGCTCGACACATGAAAAGACATGTCTGACTGTCTTTGATTATTTATTCAGTGGTATATTTCTGTCTCTCTGTTTTGCTGTCTAGATACATGTGATCTTCGACCCAGCTGGCTCCTATGCTGTTGACGGTCTGAAGCCTGACACCTCGTACCGCTTCTCTCTGGCAGCCCGATCAGAGATGGGTTTAGGCGTCTTCACCCAGCCCATCGAGGCTCGCACCGCCCAGTCCAGTAAGTCCGCCATTTCCCCCCTCTTGTCTTTTCTACTTGTTGTCCACTAACCAGCTATTTTGTTGTGCAACCGTCCCCCAAAAACCAGCTGAAGAAGGTTTAGGTTTAGGCAGGACCATTATGGATAGCTTAAATAAGACAGAGTTGGCTATTTGAATGTCAAGTCCATTTCAGCAGCACATAAAGTGCTGACAGTGCAGCCATCCCGGTCAGCCTCACGCTTCCACCACCTCCCCTCTGTCACCAACACTAACCCTCCTGTCCGTCTATCTGAGGGCAGGCCCTGTGTTCAGTGTCAAAGGTAGGTTCAATGTGTCCTGTTCCCACATTCCTGAGCTGTGCTGTGTTTTTTTCCTCATATCATTATGTGCTTTTACAGTGCCAGCACTCAAAATGTCACTCTCTGCCAGACGACTGCTGTTATTATTGCTACGGTGGCACCATCGTTGTACTTTACCTCCCGGGAGGTTTATACAGTATATTCGTGCCATGCATTTGGCCTGTACAGAACTACCTTTTGTTTAAAACAAAATCTTCTCAAGAATAAAATGTACTTTGCTTATATATATATATATATATATATATAATTAATACAAATAAAAGTGTAACCTTTAACTGACACAATCTGCTAGAGAGAGAAGACGTATCACCAGGTTTAGTTTATTATAAACACTGGTTTGCAGAGAGAAATGAACCCGAGCACAGAGACATTTAATTTCAGCCTGCTGTCAAGTTACTCATGGAATTAACGTTAATTAGTAACAGCTGATTTGAGTGCACTTCAACTGATTTGCACCTTCAAACACTCTAATTTTCACTCCCATATGCTGCAAAATGCTGTATTGAAGAGTGCTGCAACACGTCCAGGCTGTTTTTTCTATTACTTCGCAATGAGCTGGAAAATAATACAAAAATACTGCACAATATATGGATATCTCTTTTTGAAATCTTTCCGCATTCGGACAGACATATTATTGAAGAGTTATTGCCTCTGACAACCACAGAGTTATATAACTGTCAATTAAAATCCAGGTGGGGATGAGTCCATATCCTTGGGCCTCTTGACAGCAGCATTCACAAGGACACCGAATTTGGAAAACATTATTTGGATGTCATGCGGCTGGAGGATGGTGTGCCTGATATGAGCTGCAGACTTAGGAAGAATCTGAGGCAAATAGGCAGTGGCAAAGTGTGACATTTTCCAGTGCTGCATTTAATTGGTTAGAATACATTTGTTTTAAGATTCAGAGCAATGAACATAACTCAACTGAACATATATGATGAAACATGATGCTGCTTCGCCTGAAATGAAACAGGACATTATAAAACTAACAGAGATAACTTATATTGATAACAATACAGCGGTTCTGTATTTGTGTTATATATTGGGCTATATCATGTGGATGAAGCGGGGGCAGATAGAAGTATTTCATCTTCTTCATCGTCCTTCTTTGTCTTGCTCATTTCTGCCTTAGAGGCAGTCCTCCCTCTTCCTATTTGACTTTGATGTAGTAGATAAGATTCAGTCACCTTTGGTACAACATGGTGTTGTCTTGTCTTTGTAGTTTCCTGCCCAATCCCAGGACCAGGGTCTACCTGAGGAGACTCGAGGGGAATTTCATGTTCTGCCAATAGCTTATTTGATTCATATGTTGGGATAACTGTTCATTGCTCTGCTTATTACAAAATACATTTCATAGGCATGCTTCTAAGATCACCTTAGTATAAATGTTCCTTTTCCTGTTTCATTTTATTCTCCTGAAGTTTAATCTTTTTACAAGTTGAGTTAGATGCATGAAATGCACGCTGTTGTGTTTGTTTACAGTGTTATTATTTCGTATATTTTTAAATTGTTAGTTTTCTGTCTTTCCCTCTGGACTTGAGAGCTTACAAATATACTAACTGCTGCTGAAATAATAATATGGCATATTGATATTACATCTAGACATTCAATTCAAAGATTTGATGGCCTGCTGGACTGTCACTTAAGACCTAAGTCATACAACTGCAACATTGCTGGTTTGTTTATAGTCATTCAAATCAAAGCATGTTGTTGTAGTAAATCTTAACTTTTAGGAATATGTCCCATCTTTTAATCATAGCAATATTGTTTTTCATCAACCAAATGTTGACAATAGTTGAAATGCTGATGGCTGTTATTGATTATAAAATGATAGCTTTGTGTCAGCAGCATAACTGGTCAGGGTCGTACAAACACAGTTACTAGTTACAGTTAGTATGAAGCACAGAGCTCCAGCATTGATGTGTGAACACCATTCAACACTGTCAAGCACTTGTTCACGCACTGACACATCTATGGCCACTTTATGGCTGCCTCTACATACTGCGAAAGGCAGCACGACAGTTAGGGATAAATGACATCTTTATAAAACCATAGCCTTGTAAAGATTTCACACATTTTTGTTCGGAACAGCCCGCCCTGTAGTTTCATGGCCTCCCACATAAATATAGTGCCAAACTCATCTTTAGCAGTAGCCTGGTAATGTGTTTTTGCAGCCAATCTCTCAGTCCGGAGGCACCATCCTGTTTAGTATGAAAGCTTTTTGTACTCAGTATAACAATTAAATGTTATATTCAAACCTACAGTATGAGTGCAAAATATGTGATTCTCACTAGCTTAGAAAGGGACTCAAAAATCTTTTGTTACAAGATCGATAATGTCTTCAAAACATAGAATATGTTGGCTGGACCATTTCATGTACTTCAGAAAGAATGAATATCTGTTTTGTGTCATATACTGTAGGGGCAACAGATAGGCATACACTAAGGGTCATACAGATCCATTACATTTTCATTTAAAAGACTCAGACCACCTACGACACTTTTTATTTCCAAGGTTAATGTGTTATGCCTTAGTGCAATAGAAAATATTATACAGTTTGAGTCTTCATGTTTAGATTTATTTTGCATTCACACTGAAGGTGGTGAAACTCAAAAATACTACATTATAATTGTCATATTGGCAGTTCAAAAAGCTTCCACAGTTTTGTGTTTTGTTTGCCTGTGTTTTAGTTTTTTTTCGTTTGCTTGATCCGTTCCCCCGTCCATGTTATTGTGCTCCCCTCCCCCAACAGCCCCATCCGCCCCCCCTCAGGATGTACACCTGGTCAGCCTGAGCTCCACCAGCCTCAAGGTGAGTTGGGTGGCCCCGCCCGCCGCTAGCCGCCACGGCGCCATTGTGCGATACACAGTCAGCTACCAGGCCATGGCGGGGGAGGACACGGAGCGGCATGAGGTGCCAGACATCGGAGCAGACGCCTCTAGCCTATTGCTGGAAGGCCTGGAGAAGTGGACTGAGTATCAGGTGTGGGTGAGGGCTCACACTGACGTGGGCCCGGGCCCCGAGAGTGCCCCAGTGAGGATGAAAACCAGAGAGGATGGTAGGTGGAGACTCCATGAAGCAGAGCGCTCTGAGACTCTTTCTGCTTGGGGCTGCCAGTCATTTTCTTCCCTAACTCTTTTTAACTTCTACTGCAAATTTCTGTGTGGCCTGATGGTCATTTCTGAGTCAATGATGGTGGTAGCAGAGAGGATCGCCTTCTCTTTTTGTCCTCTTCTTTCCAGCTCGCTTTCTGTAGCTTTACCACTTTACATCTTTGGCAGGTGAAGGCTCATCGCCCCAGGCCAGAGCTCTGCACCACTCTCCTCTGCTCTCCCTGTTTGAATGCTTCTCTTGAGTTCTTTCTTCTGTTTTGAGGAATAGAAGTGGAGCAGATCCCCCCCACTCCGTTCTATCGCTCTTGCCTCTTTTTCCTCACTCTTTCCTCGTTTTGTTGATAGAGAGCGGCTGTTCCTATGAGAGACTTGTCTATAATTAATGTGTTTGAAGTTTGCTGCAACACAGCTAATTTCATACTGAAATCAAGGACATTACAGACATCGCTAGACCACATGGTGTCCCGCATAGGGTGCTTTGGGGACACAGTAGACATACACTGAACAAAAATATAAATGCAACACTTTTGTTTTTGCTCCCATTTTTCATGAGATGAACTCAAAGATCTAAAACATTTTCTATAAACACACAATAACCATTTCTCTCAAATATTGTTCACAAATCTGAAAAAATCTGTGATAGTGAGCACTTCTCCTTTGCCGAGATAATCCCTCCCACCTCACAGGTATGGCATATCAAGATGCTGATTTTACAGCATGATTATTGCACAGGTGTGCCTTAGGCTGGCCACAATAAAAGGCCACTCTGAAACGTGCAGTTATGCTTTATTGGGGGGGGTCCGAAAACCAGTCGGTATCTGGTGTGACCACCATTTGCCTCACGCAGTGCAACACATCTCCTTCGCATAGAGTTGATCAGGTTGTTGATTGTGGCCTGTGGAATGTTGGTCCACTCCTCTTCAATGGCTGTGCCAAGTTGCTGGATATTGGCAGGAACTGGAACACGCTGTCGTATACGCCGATCCAGAGCATCCCAAACATGCTCAATGGGTGACATGTCCGGTGAGTATGCTGGCCATGCAAGAACTGGATGTTCAGCCTCCAGGAATTGTGTACAGATCCTTGCAACATGGGGCCGTGCATTATCATGCTGCAACATGAGGTGATGGTCGTGGATGAATGGCACAACAATGGGCCTCAGGATCTCGTCACGGTATCTCTGTGCATTCACAATGCCATCAATAAAATGCACCTGTGTTCGTCGTCCATTACATACGCCTGCCCATACCATAACCCCACCACTACCATGGGCCACTCGATTCACAACATTGACATCAGAAAACCGCTCACCCACACGACGCCACACACGCTGTCTGCCATCTGCCCTGAACAGTGAAAACCGGGATTCATCCGTGAAGAGAACACCTCTCCAACGTGCCAGACGCCATCGAATGTGAGCATTTGCCCACTCAAGTCGGTGACGACGACGAACCGGAGTCAGGTCGAGACCCCGATGAGGACGACGAGCATGCAGATGAGCTTCCCTGAGACGGTTTCTGACAGTTTGTGCAGAAATTATTTGGTTATGCAAACCGATTGTTGCAGCAGCTGTCCGAGTGGCTGGTCTCAGACGATCTTGGAGGTGAACATGCTGGATGTGGAGGTCCTGGGCTGGTGTGGTTACACGTGGTCTGCGGTTGTGAGGCCGGTTGGATGTACTGCCAAATTCTCTGAAACGCCTTTGGAGACGGCTTATGGTAGAGAAATGAACATTCAATTCACGGGCAACAGCTCTGGTGGACATTCCTGCTGTCAGCATGCCAATTGCACGCTTCCTCAAAACTTGCGACATCTGTGGCATTGTGCTGTGTGATAAAACTGAACGTTTCAGAGTGGCCTTTTATTGTGGCCAGCCTGTGCAATAATCATGCTGTCTAATCAGCATCTTGATATGCCACACCTGTGAGGTGGGATGGATTATCTCGGCAAAGGAGAAGTGCTCACTATCACAGACTTTTTCAGATTTGTGAACAATATTTGAGAGAAATGGTTATTTTGTGTATATAGAAAATGTTTTAGATCTTTGAGTTCATCTCATGAAAAATGGGAGCAGTGTAGAATAACTGAGTAGAGATGATTTTGATTAATGGCCGAATCTCGTATCACTTCCTTTTGCAGAGCACCAAAGACTATAAAAAATACTCAGGAGTGATTATTTTTGTTTTTGGCGCCTCATCGCAATAACAGGGAAGTGAGGAAAATAACTAACTCAGCACATTTTCTGAGTCTCTCTGACTGTCTGTCTCTCTCTTTCGGTCTGCATTCTGCTTTCTCTCCCTCACTTGCCCATCTGTTTTTTTCTGGTTTCCAGTGCCGGGAGCACCCCCCAGGAGGCTGGAGGTTGAGGCCATTAACTCCACAGCAATCCGGGTAACCTGGAAGCCGCCCCTGCAGGGGAAGCAGCACGGCCAAATCCGAGGCTACCAAGTAATCTTCTCTCGGCTGGAGAACGGTGAACCTCGTGGCCAGCCTAACATCATGGACGTGGCTCTGCCAGAGGCACAGGTACTGGATGATGTCTTATTCTTTTCCAGTCTCTCTTTCTCTTTCGATATCTGTCTTATGTTCATTTCCCATTATTTTCATTCTCCACCGCTCCCGTATTCCCTTCCATTCTGTGAGTTCACACTTCATTTCCCCCGTAACGGGTGACACACATGGACATTTCATTCAGTTGACTGCTGTACCCCCGCCCCCCTTTTTATTTTTTCATCTTTCTCCATATGTGACATTTGACTCTAAATTGGTACCCTGCTCCCACAGCTTTGGATTAGCTGTCGTAACAAGATCCATTCTAATCATACAGTAATAGCTATTAAATATTTGATATGTGTTACATCGGGATGGGGCTTAGTGGAATCAATGCACCTCTTTTTGCGGGCTTTAGCAGTAATACATATGCACTGCCTTGTTACCATGTTTATAAATTAGAGTTATTTTCCCGACGCCGCCCTCTACACATTAATGCAAGCTGCTCCGAATCGCCCAAAGCTATGTGACACCATGAGATGGATGAGAGATTGTAATCCTTAAGAGGGATTCAGAGATTCATGAATATTTTAAAAACCAAAAACCCCACTCTCACTCTTTCCCTCTCTCCGGGAGAGGAGAGACCAGCTTAAGAGCCTCCTTCGGATTGTTTGCCGGGAGTAACATTTGCGCGAACACGCATTCACTCACACCCCCGATGGCCTCACAGAAAAACATCTAATTTGAACAAGTAAGCGCTCCCTGGCCGCAGGAACACCACAGAAAATCTGAACAGCCTTGCATGTCTCTCTGAGCAGTGTTTGGTGATAAATGCTTTGCGGCAGCATTTAGGGAGACCAACAGGTTGCTGGTTCATTCCCAGGCAGTGCACACTACTGTGCCCTTGAGTGGAGCTATTAACCCTCATTTGCTTTGTCAAACACCCCGCTGTCTTAAGTCTTATCGTTGCAGAGGAGGAAGCACTGTCAAAGTCACCTTGGAACGATGCATCAGATGTGATACCCCCAAGTGACGCTAAGCAGACTTTGCAGATCCCAGTTGTGTAGCTGGGAATTCAGTGATAAATACATAATGACTAAATAATATCTCACATGGGAATTTAAAGTAAAGAAATGACTGCAATTTTGGCAAGATTTCACTTGGATAACTGAGAACTGCGTAGGTGAAGCTCTGGTTGATGTTACCTGTCGCTGTCTTCATACCTGGCCCTTTGTTTTGCAGCAGTATTTTTCTGGCAGCTGCTGCTGACAGTTCTTTGTTGCCTGACTGTGTACCAGAGGGCCTGACAGCCAGGACAGCATCATTGTTCTGAAGAAAAAGTCAAAAACATGGGGGCTGCTTGTCTTCCTAGAAGCGCTTTTGGACATGTTTAGTGTGACTTTGTTTTGCGTTAAAACTGAACTTAACTGAACATGACCCTACCTGTTGTGAAAACAATATGTCTCTTTCCTGCCAGGTTCAAACAATAAACAATAAGACACACTCCAACGTGGCACTCAGGGAAGCTCTCATGATCCAGTTTGAAGTCCAGGACACTTCACAAACTCACAGTTCCCCCCCTGGCAAAAACAGGATTTTTTTCCCACCCTCCTCCTTTGTTATTCCTTTTCTCCTTATCTCTAACTCCCCTCCCTTTCTCTCCTGTCCCCCTTTTGAACCCGTCCTGCCTGTGAGGCCCGTTGAATAATTACCAGAGGCTTGCGTGCAGGTTGGTTACCCTTGATTGAGTCATCTCAACAGATTGTTTTCTATGAGACAACGCTGAGTAGCCAACCTGCATGGACCTGCCCAGACGTCACTACAGACCGCACAGTCCGCTGACGCTCCCTTGGCCACGTTCACCCAACTGGATTTAGAACAATCCCTTTTTCTCTCACATGTCTTTCCTTTCCCGTACCCTAACAACAAGTGGGAAAAACGACCGGTTAGCATGAACAGACATGCTCACCGTTAGATCAACATTGGCAAGTAAGTTCATGACTCATACCAGTCTCATGCAAACGGCACAAATGCACACCTGTAATTGATGATGAATAACAGGAAGAAAACAATTGACTTCTATCCTGCCACATCCCACGTGTTGTGAAATCAGTTCCATATCCACCCTTTTCACCTGCAATGAATGCTAAGTAAGCCTGCCAGGGGGGGGAAGAAAGAACTGATTTTCCAGGGCTTTCACAACATAACACAACCTCACCTTAGGGTTCAATAATAAATCTGAGCAGACGGATTGGATTGCAGATTCTGTCAAAATGGCTATCACCTCTCCCCTTGTCTTTGTGTCTCTGTTTCGAGCTCATTCTCTCCTCTTCACCCCCTCTCAGGGTTAGCTGAACGCTATGAGTAGAGCTTGTCTGTGCGTGGGTGTTTTAAGCGCCTCTTTTCCTTTCAAGCAGGAGCCCACACAGCGCCCTCATTTCCCTGCTAAATTTAAACCAGAGGCCATGTTAACATTATGATGTTATCGACCTCTTTCTAACCATGCTTCTATTGGGAAAGTGGCCTGAACCTGAGTGGGCAGCTCCACACCACATAGCCTGCTCCATCACTATGCATTCATAGCAACCACCAGGCTCATGTGTTTCATATAGCCGTCTGTATAAGTTGTCCTAAAACGGCGTGATTGAGTTGGAAGCCGTTAACCCAACCGCCTTTCTATACATTTTGCACAAGTTTGCCTTTATCTAGCAATACTTTTCCAGGTTCATTTAGTTTGACCACTCATGCGTTTTTGAAGTGTGTGTGTGTTTGTGTGTGTAGGAGCGAGCGAGCAAGGCAATGCCTCACTGCGTCTGCGGCCTTCAATGCCTCAGATTGAAGTTGAATGTGAATCGGGGGGGGAAAAAGAGAAAAGAAGCACCTCAGCCTGTTTCACTCCATCAATCATGACAGCTCCTTCTCTTCCACATCACTCGCTCCCATTTTTATAGCCACACATCTCAGCCCATGTCATCACATTTGCATTCACCCGCCTGCAAATTATACCGCTCCGTTTCCACAAACGACGCTTATCAGCAATGATGTGTTTTCAGCTTGCGTTGGGATTCAAAATATAAATGGGGGATAATTTATAATTCTCCAATGGATCCAAGCAGAAAGCAAAAGCAGTTGCGATAGAAAGGGATTAGCCCAAGATGAGATAGGAACTCTTGCGAACCTTAATGTGTTCGCTGCTCTGTTGACATACTGAGTGGAGTCGACGGTAAACAAATTAAGCCATTAGGCAAGTAGCAAACTGTTATTCATGGAGTTAAATAGCAGCTGTTCTTAAATGCTACTCTTTAGTGCTCCACTACATCAGGGGAGCATGAAGCAGCAGTTTCTGATGCAAGAGTCTCAACCAGTCGCAACTGGGACCAGACAAAGGCGTAGCTTATGCTTCAGTTAGCTGGTTCTTGATAAAGAGCCTTCCACATTGGAGGAGGGCGGAGAAGTTTGGTCTTTTGTCTTTTCATATGCCAACAGTCAATGGAGGATGATAAACACGTCCCTCTAGTGCACAATGAATCAGCAGTGTGTGAGGCTCACTCCCTCTCTAAAAGTCTGGAGAGCAAAAAGGGAAAGATGGGCAGCAGGCACCACTGCTGAATAATGTCTGGAAAGGCATGTGTGGACTGTCTGAACTTCATGTTGTTCTTCTTAAAGTTCAACTAAAATAAAATAAGACAGCATTTCTTGATTACGTCTAATGATATCTTCATGGTATCTAAAGTGTTGTTATAATTGCTAAATTTTTAAGACACGCATCTGCCTCAAAGTCTGAACAATATCTGATTGTACTTACTTGTTATTAAGGGCCTCCCAGTTTCTCTTCTTTTCAAACACTTTAGCTGCAGAAAAAGTCAACTTAGAAGAAGACTTTGCAAAGAAAATGTCTCAAAATAAATAATCAGAACATTTGTATTTTATGCAACAGCTGCATGATTTTACTCTCATGGTCAAAAATGGTCTAATTCTAAATGTTTGGATAACCGACTCAATTTCATGAGCATTGCTTTTTTGTTACTTTTGAACTTTTCAGGTAACACCATCTTTAAAGTGGTGGTCTTACACTATTGCTTGATTAGGAACTTGTTCATAAAGACCTCGATTAAATCAAGCAGTTGATTAGTAGAAAAAATCACAAGTGTTACGGCCCGTCCACACAGCGGCGTGCGTTGAAGCTTCCAACGCTTCTGCCCATTCACTTTGAATGGGGTGACGTCACTTTTAGCCGAACTGCATCGTGGGAAGCGACGTGGAGCGTTGCTGGCGTGGCTCGCTGCAAAAGTTGAGCAATGTTCAACTTTTGACGCCTCGGCAGAAGCGTCAGCCAATTGAATCATATGCCAGTACAAGCTCTAGCCAATCAAACCGCTGCTTGTGTGTCAGGGGCGGGAGATTCATGTGATTGGTTGTTGGTCGAGTGTCAGACACGCCCGTCAGCAAGCGTCAACGCACGCCGCTGTGTGGACGGGCCGTTAGTCTTCTAATAATGTATTTAGTTGCGGACATCACTATTTTGCATTGTTGCCCACTTCACCAGCAGCTCATGTTGTAGTTGCGCACTAATGTCCGAATGTAATTGCCTGCCGACAGCACTCTAACCCATCGTCCTCCCTAGCCCCCTCCCTTCTATGTTCTCCATTTGGTCTTACATCAGTGTCATCTCTCCTGCCCCTTGTCAGCCGGCCACCCATCAGTGAACTCCTCTACAGCAGCTCAACTGTGGAGCGGGTTTCTAGTAAACACCAGCAGTTGCGTTCTGCATCGACGGGGTTTGATGTCACAGGGCTAGCATAGCAGCGCTAGTAATAGGATTTCACGCTCGGCACCGACGGAGCCCCGCGGCACGAAATGGGCTTTCACTTCCCCCGGGAATCACTTGGCCAAGTGCAGAGAGCACGGAGAACATTTTGAAAACATATTGAAATATAATGAATAAAAGGTCCTTCCTCCATTTCTGGAAAGAGGAACTGCTTCAGAGACAACAAAGAGATCATTATCATACTGAATGGAGGTGTGATTGAGGGAGAGAGATTTTTTTATTACAGGTTAATGAGAAACAAGGCAGTGCATCATAAACAACAATGAGTTTAAGAGCCATTGCTCAACTTAGCCACACAATTTAGTTTTTACCACTTACCTTTTTACTCCTTCACTTCCATCCCTGCTGTGTGTGTTTTAGTTACTGCATGACTCTGTTTACACCTACATTCATCTATCTTTAAGCGAAAAAAAGACAAGTGCTTTTTTTCCCGTTGTGTTGTCTATGACTCATTTCTCTCCCCATCCTGTGTCCTGTGTCTTCTCTCCCATCAGTGGAATATTGAGGAGTCCACCGAGCATGTGAGTAACCCTCATGTGTGCTGCTGGGTTGTCATGCAGGGCAGGCTCTTCTCCCCTCTGCAATTTGGGGGTGCTGTGTGTGCTTGTGTATTTGGATTATCAATTGTGTGTGTTTTTATTTTTTTATAAACCATGCTTGCAATCCACTCGGTGTGAATACTCATGTTGGATCATAACCACAGCAAGACATTTGTGTCCTGATGATTCCTGGTGTGTGTGTGTGTGTGTGTGTGTGTGTGTGTGTGTGTGTGTGTGTGTGTGTGTGTGTGTGTGTGTGTGTGTGTGTGTGTGTGTGGGTGTGGGTGTGGGTGTGGGTGTGTGTGTGTGTGTGTGGGTGTGGGTGTGTGTAATATTCTCTACAACCAAAAGCTTGAGGATTATTTCCACTGATGATTCAGTACAAATACAATATTTTAACATTTTACCACAAGACAAACTCCTAACAACAGCTGGGCATTCAATCGGATCTGAGCCACTTACTGCTGTGCTTTTCCCCGTCATTGAGCGTACAGTGCAGTCAAAGGCTGTGTGTCAGTATTCCAGTGTGATGCTGACATTAATCAGGCTCGCCTAACCTGCCATCTCCCCCACTGTTCCAGATGACATGTCTATCTGAGGGGAGGAGCTGTGTGTTTTTATCAGCTCCACACATCTCCAGGATTGCTACCAGCCTTTCATGTTCTTTTCATTTGCCTGGGTGGCAGCTCACTGTTCCACGGCTGTCACTGAGCCCTTTGTTATGGCTTATGCAAGACGTCATATTGCAGTAGCATAAATACAGAGCCACTTACTGTTGGGAGTCAGGTCTTCAAAAGAAACCTGCCAGAATAACAAAAACTGCTGTCAGCACTTTAACAAGGGCACGTTGTTTAAATAATGTTAATTGCATTTGTTTGTTAGCTAAAGCAATGTTGGGCCTTTTCTGTTTCTCAAAATAAGAAACCTGGTTATTCAATCCATTTTAGTGACTTGTTTATATATCAACACTAGATGTTTATTTATTTCTTTACAAAAGAGCAGGTGAGATGTTTACATATCATTTTATTTGCCAGTTAAGGAGAAATCTGTTTTCACATCACACATGACCAGATTCCTCCAGCTACACCCACATGCCGGCATGAGTCAGGATCGCCTACTTTCCCTCTCCGCTTAATGTGTTGATTAACACCTGACAGATAGAGCTAGACGCTGTCAGAGGAAGACATCTGTTCACACATCTTTATTATTTCTGTTTCCGCCATGTTGGGCGAAAGCAGTCGGTGTGCCAGGTAACTAATGTAGTGTGAGTCACAGACAGATGTCAACAACCAAAACATTAGCATTTCTTGTTGACCCATGGCATGTTCACAGGCAGTAGGAATTAAGGTTTGTTAATGCAAATGAGCGCAAATAGAACATACTGTAACTCAAATGTCAAGGGCTCTGTAGCAAAAAATAGTATGAAGCGAATATATATTTACTTGAAACAATGACACACATTTTCCCCTGACATTTTCTATCCTACTGAGGATAGTAGCGTAGAGAGGCTTGTAGAGAAGAATCCATTTCTATAACTAGTCGACTTTATAATCTCTGTAATGCCCTTTGGTGCTGCTCTAAGCATTAGCTTGGAAGGAAACTTTGAAGCCTAGCTTTTTCTATTTCTGCTGAGTTTCAACAGTGTTACTAGACCCGATTTGACCTTGCCAGAACAGGGGGGGAAAAGATCTCTGTGACTGCCACTGCTGAGACTGTTAAAACCATTTTGTATGATTAAAGTAATGAGACTCCCTCCATAAAGTTAGAATGGTTTTATGATACAGTAATTCAGCATTTTCTCCCCCGTCTCTCTTTAAGGTTAGTATGGGAGCACCAAATGTCCCTTTAAAAGAGAATGGCTGTTAAAAGCATTGTCAAACAGAGCTAGCTTATATAGACGAATACATGTTCTTCTATAGTTAGGAAATTAAAACTTCATTAGTTAGAAAAACAGCGTTAGAGCTCGGCTGGATATTATTCTAAGGGTGTGAGAAGTTTGCGAGGAGATCCGGCAGGAAGGCTTGTAGGCATTGTCGTGTTCGTCCTCTCTGTGGCCCCAGTCAGAAACCGACAACTCCAGCGTGTGTGCTCAAGCCCTAGGCGTTCATTTGTTCTTGGTATTGAGTGTGTGAGCTCATGTCTGCGTGCATCATTGTGTGTGTGTGTGTGTGAACATTCATGGTGTGTCTCTACCTGCATGCATACTTTGCTGTGTGTTTATATACAGTATTTATACATCGGTGAGTATGTGCATTCACCTATGTGTATTTATTTCTGTTTACTTATGGGCTTTGTTCAAGCTCAGTGTTTAATTCCAGCGTGTGGGTGTGTTTTTATTCAGGCTGATGCAGTCTGGTGAAGTGAGTGCCAGCACTGCAGCAGGTTACCAATAACAGTGTTATCTCAGTTGTTTGTTGTTTTTTCTGCTGTCTGTTTGTTGCTGTTGAGTTACTGATCTGTTCGACCACCTCAGTGTGTCTGTGTTTTTGAGGCTGCCCACCCCAACTTGCATGGAAATCCAGAGGATAGTAAATACCTAAAAACTAAACTTAGCTATTTAAACGAAAAAGAAAAAGTGCAACATCTGTTTGATGTTTTATTTTTAACATTAAGAGTTTTTTTTACAATATGTCCGACAGACAGAAGTGTACACTTTGTGGGCTTTTATAGTGTAGTGATGATCCTACGCTCCTCTGGGTATAATCCCATGCTTATCCATGCAGCAGCCCTGAACACTGATACACTGGTGATGTTCTGGTTCAATGGTTTGGTTGGTTGGTTAACGGGTTCAGTGTGTGCCTTAAAATTGGGCCAAAGAGTTTTTCTTGACGAAGAAAAGTTGGTCAAGAAAATCTCTGGTCCTGTTTGTGTGCCTTCAAAACCTTTCTCTGTTAAATGCTTTAGAAGTTTTGTTTCCTATTATAGGCAGATTGATAAAGAAACTACAAGTGGATGGAGAAGAGGGGTTTAATATTATTATGGTTTATTTTGGTGCTGTGTGTTTTGTGAGGGGATGGGAGCTTGTGTGAGAGGGTTTGTTTGCTTGTTTTTTGCCATTGAGGCGGTCCCGCTCAGACCCACTGATTCGTTTTGAACTCTGACCCTGTGATTTTTCCATTTCGCAGGAGGCCATCATAGCTGGACTGCACTCTGAAACCACCTACTCTGTCACTGTAGCAGCGTACACCACCAAGGGAGATGGAGCTCGTAGCAAAGCTAAAGTCATCACCACGACTGGAGCAGGTCAGAGTTGCTTTTATCTGGGTTATCATGTAAAACACAGGATAAGTGCTATCTGTTTACAGAATACTGTGGTGTTATCTTTAAGGCTTGAATCTGAAAACCTCTGTACTCTTGTAGTATGAGTGAAAGCCTGTATGACTGGATAGTCATGTTAGTTGTATTGAGATGCTACATGTATATTAGCTTCAAAGACTAGTTAGCACTAACTGTTGGTAAAGTGCCGTGTATGAGCGAAGCTTGTAACCTTCAAACCTTCATATCTAGTTTATTAGTGACTTATAATTTATTGATTTATTAGTGATTTAAAGTTTGTGGTTATTGAGGTGGGTAATCTTTTGATAAGCTGTCTCAAGCTAACTATCCATTGGCACTAGCCCTGTACTTTATTAGGCAAATATGAAAATTGAATATTTTTCTCAAGTAAATAAGCATATTTCTTAAAATGTGGAACTTTTTGAGAGTTATGAGAGAATCTTTAATTTAAAAAAAGGTTTTGCATATTTAGAAGAATTACATTACTCTTTTCTTTCACCTTCCTTCTTTTCTTCAGTGCCAGGCAAGCCCAACATGATGATCAGCACCACCAGTGGCACCACCAGTGGCAACACAGCGCTGATCCAGTGGCAGCCTCCTAAGGAAATGGTGGGCGAGCTGATGGGCTTCCAGCTGCAGTACAAGCGCACCGACGAGGAAACCTACACCTCCCGCGAGCTGAGAAAGACCGAGGAACATTACACCGTCACCGGGCTGCACAAAGGCGCCACATACGTCTTCCGCCTCAGCGCCCGTAACCGCGCAGGCATCGGCGAGGCCTACATGAAGGAGATCGGCACCGCTGAAGACGTGCCCTCAGGCTTCCCGTTCAACCTCCAGGTGACAGGACTGACCCAGTCCTCCACACAGCTGACCTGGGAGCCGCCGCTGGTGGCCGAGAGGAACGGGAAGATTGTGTACTACCTGGTTGTGTACAGGGACATCAACAGCCAGCAGAACAGCACCAACCGCACCTCAGATACGCACATGACAATCCATGGCCTAAATCCTGACACCACCTACGATATTCGAGTGCAGGCCTTCACCAGTAAGGGCGGGGGACCGCTCAGCCCCAGCATCCAGAGCAGGACCATGTCCATTGGTAGGACACATGACTGACATTTATACACAAACATATCAGAGGTGTTTGATTTGAAAACACAGAATCAGGGTTTATTAAATGCGCTTACACATGTACATCTACACACGCAGCCTTATCTACAACATATACATGAACACTATATGACCTGCTTATGTTTTTGAACACTATAGCCATCTCTTTTTTTATCTCTATCAGTGCCATGTCTTTCTCATCTAGCACTCAGTAAAGTACAGCACTGTGTTAATTGATTTATAGAGCACTAATCTCATTATGCATCCCCGCCCTCCCTCCCATTAGACACAAATCTGAAGCATACCCAGCATGCACCTTCTCGTGCATTTTCTAATCTTATTTAAATGTAAGATTTCTTATGTATAACCAGTTGTGCACAATGCCTATTTTAAGATACGTGTTGCCATCTTACTGCCATATTCATTTCTTGGTAATCACTGGGATCTCTGCCTGTTGTGTTTGTCTCGCTATGAACACGGTGTAATAAATGAAACATGCTTAGGGAGATGAAAGCTACTTTTATGTAATCTATAACATGGCGTGAATAATAATTTTGATGATCCTTACACCCCTGTGGCAAGTTTGGTTATAAGGTATCACCATGGAATATGTTCTCATTATCCAGTGAGAGGGTTACTTGCTGTACAGTAGTGTGATAAATGACATAACATTTTGAGTTGACTTAATGTTGGACTTGCGATATTAATTAAATCGTTTTCCCATCCTAGATTTTCCCACCATAAACTTTGGTGTCAAAGCTGTCATGAAAACATCTGTCCTCCTAACCTGGGATTTGCCAGCAAACTACAAATCCCAAGTGCCTTTCAAGGTGAGTACCAAGCTTTCAGCAATGCTAAAACAAATCCCCACATGTATCCAGGGATTGATACAAAAACAACATTACACCATGAACATCATTTGCATAGACACAAACTTTATCATAATAAACTTTTTTTATGGTTTCATAAACTAAAATACTATATTTTAAAACCTCAATTTTACAACCACCAAAATATAAAACAACAACGGAAATGTGTTTTCTTTTTTTAATAAAAAGTCATTATTACTTCAACATAATGTGCAACATGTTCTGTATAACTTTTTGTTACATTGCAATTGTACAGTAGGCTATCAGCTCTTAACACTTTCATTAAGGTGTGATGCAATGACTTTCCTGCACTGAAATATCTGAAAAAACTGATTCCTGTTCATTTATGAGGTGTAATCATCTGTCAAAATTATATTACATCAATTCCCACCCCACGGTAATGGAGCAAAGACAATTTGAAGTGTAAAAAAATCTGCCATGCACCAATGGGCAAGTGTGACACTGAAGTACATGGGATGAGGTGTCAGATGAGATGAGCACCTCCCTTAGGACTACTGTGTGTGTGTGTGTGTGTGTGTGTGTGTGTGTGTGTGTGTGTGTGTGTGTGTGTGTGTGTGTGTGTGTGTGTGTGTGTGTGTGTGTGTGTGTTGGAGGCAGTTAGAGGAGGCAGCATTGCATTTGTCTGAAGGATATGCATTTTGTGTCTAATTCCAAGTTTTCTCTGGTGTGCTCACAGATCCTGTACAACCAGCAGAGCGTGGAAGTGCAGGGAAACCTGAAGAGGAAGCTGATCTCGCAGCTGCAGCCAGACACAGACTACTCCTTTGTGCTGACAAGCAGGGGCAACATTGCTGGGGGTCTGCAGCAGCAGGTGTCCATCCGCACTGCCCCTGACCTGATCAAGACCAAGCCCAACCCACTTCAGGCTAAGGGTGGCAAGATGACCATCAACCTGCCAAAGGTCCAGACCACCACACGTGTCAGGTCAGTGTTTAGAAACATGTGAACAGAAAGACAGGCTGTGACACTGGACATAAATCAACTAATCACTGATTTTGGCCGGTAGACTGAATTTTTGGTAGACTTTTATTAATATAATGCAGAATGTAGCTGCATTTGTGTTATTGGCTGTTGCAGTGACCAAGCTTTCCATCACAGGCTACCTACAAATTTGAAATATTAAGAGTAGCCTTTTGTTACAGTGTGCAGGAAGCAGGACCCAAATGCAGATTTAAGTGACAAAATAATTCCTTTATTTCAAGGCTACAATATTCAGAGACAGAACAGAACACTCACCGCAGTTTACTCACAACACAAGATGAACCAACACTGAACACAGGAAGAGACAAGACTAAATACAGGAAGGGGTAATCACAAGACGAGACACAGCTGGGCAGGGGAGGAGAAACACAAGGGCCACAGGTGAAAACAATCAGACAACTAGACACACCAGGGAAACTAACGACAGGAAGAAAAACACAGGAAGAAGGACCAGACAATATACAAGGATGAAAATACCCATAACCAGACATACAAAACTACAACACAGACAGATCCTAACACCTTTATATGATTGTGAGTTATTATCGAAAGCATTATCGGGTTTCATTTGAATCCCCCATTTGATTTTCTTATTTTATCAGTAAAAAAATATGATAATATTCAAATAAGCAGCACTTTCACGTGAATTCTTGCAAATGTTCTTAAAAATAATCATCCAGCAGTTAAGTTACTGAATAACAAAACATTTTATTTTTTTAAATAAATAACTACATAAGGAGGCAGTAAATGAACTAAGATCTTTACCTGAAAACTCCATATGTTGGGCCCTTTTTGGCCCCGGGCCCCTAAATGGCCACTTGGTGTTTTGTGAGTTTATTAAATGGGAGCTAATTCAATTTCAACTCTGAATGACCTTTCCTCCGGCAACATCAGCGCAAGTGGCACACTTTTTAATCAATACTAAACCTGTTTTGAAACTGAAAGCGTCAACTTTTAATCTTATTCAACTTCATGACAGCGGCTGATGATAATCGTGATTTTTTTTTTTCAGGTTGAGCTGTATTATCTTTTGACTCAAATTGTTAAGAGCACAATTGTGCCTGACCCGGACGAGTAAAGCCTTTCCTTCAACCACACACTTACAGACACATCTGAGTAGCAGAGTGCACAGGGTTGATTGGTAACAAGATTACAGGGCTGTCAGGGCTGGGCAAGCTCCAGCTCAGATTGACAAGCAAAGAGCACACGTGATTGGGGGTGAATAATGGAGGTCTGGGTGTGCAGATGAGAAAGGGGTTGAGGAGTTCTTCATGTCTTTTCCTACTCCCAGACTTGACTGACTGTTGAATCACAGAGTCGAGGCCTGGAGAGAAGGGGAGAGAAGCAGCTGCTTTCACTGTCAGCAGCTTCTGATTTTACAAGTGGTTGAATGCCGCAGTGGGGGAAAAAACTTTGAGCTGAGAAGACAGACTGGGGGAGAACACGAGGGAGAGCCACCACATAAATACACGCAGACACAGATGTCTGTACATTGAGTACTCACAAGCATGTTCCTTTATCCATTACCTCACTCCTTACTTTGACCCTAAATGTCCTTCTGATGTCTCTCTTCCCTTCTATTTTTGGTGCTTATAATGACACGGTAAAATAACACACACGAGCGGTCACATAGCTGTTCCTATTAACCTAAGGGATCCTATGGGGATCTCTATTAGCTAAAGGCTCCTCTCCCTAGGATAGTGTTTGTTCCACTCTACATGGCAGATGTTCTTAGTGATTAGACATTAATTGGAGAATGCAGTGACAATCTGCCGGTGTTCGACCTTGGTCGGACCCACTTGTACCACTCGAATTTTTTTAATGCAGCCCAGCAAAGCGAAAGTACTTTGTCTTACTAAATGTTTTGATAGTGTTATTAATGCGCCTGGCACGCTTTGATCTCAGCGTGTATGTACTTCAGCCAGTCTGTCTTCACACAGGCTTTATTTTTCTTGGCAGGTGGTACTACATCGTGGTAATGCCTGTGTCCCCGTCAACGCCGCAGTGGAAGAATCCAGACGAGATGGACCTGGACGAGGTGAGTGCCAGCCGGTGGCTGATTGGCTAATGTGCCAGGTCAGAGGTCACCAATAGCTTCTCCTGTTCCAACTGGCTAGGAAGTCACTGGTTGTAGCTAATTAGCTCCACCCTCCTAGGCTCAGGCGGGGGGGTGGCAAGGCAGAGAGATTTGAGACAATGACTCACTCGGCGGGTGGGGAGTGTCCTGATTGGATGCCAGGTCTGCAGACAATACCCATCTGCTGAATACAAGAGCATGAAATAAGTCTATAACTAAATGTTTCTAAACAGTAATAACAAATGACTGCTCTGGTTCCATATTTTCTTTATAGTCTTTATATTCAGGGAATAACAGCTAAAACAAAGTCTTACATAAGGTATTCAGATGAGGATAAAGATTTATGACTGCTTTATTATTGTTTAATTTATTATTCTTTATCATGAATAAAGGTCTTCCTCGTCCACAGGAGAATTCAAGCTAAATGACATCCCTAAATGTGAATAGCATCATTTTTAAGTAAACTGTGAGGATCGTTGGTTTGGATCGCTACTGTTCAAGCAGCGCCAGAAGAAGTCCCTGAAGAAAATAGCAGAAGAGACCAAGAGACTCCCTAAGTCATTAAACATTGAGCAGTCCATTGTCTCCTCCTTCCGACATAATGATTTAATAAAGCTACATCTGGCGCAGCACATGAGACATCACTGACAGAAAACAAATGCTGCTGGAAACACAATGCTGCAGTGCTGTATGCCCCTGCTCATTTATTAAGCAGGCTGGCAGTCATGCTGACATTGTCTGCTGGAGCAAGTGCTAATTGCTCACTTCGTAACTTGGCTGCATTGTTAGAGAAGTTATAGCACAGAGCAAAGGGCACTTTAGCTGTGTGGATTCATTATATTTTATTAGGATGCATAGTAAATACCAGACCTGACTGCAAAAGTGTTTTCTTTTTTCCAAGACTTTAGAGAAATTGAGAGAAGTTAAAGGTGGGGTAGGTAAGTTTGAGAAACCGGCTCGAGATACACTTTTTGTTATATTCCATGGAATGCTCTTAACATCCCGATAACAAAGAATATCTGAAGTGCTTTGACACAAAATCCATTAAAAAATGTCATCTGTGGAAGCCGTGGAGCTGTAAAAAGCACGACCAATCATCTGAGTCGGCCCGGCTAAAATAACTGGATGGCCTACCTGCCTGTCAGCCTTCCATCTGTGCACAAACTTATCTCGTGCCCTCATTGGTCATGTGCGCGTTCGTGTGTGTTGGAGGAGGGGCTCTGTAAGGAAGTGGCAGATTTTTTCCGGTTGTGTATTTTCAAATTCTAACGCACTCGAGCTGGTTTCTCCAAAATTACCTACCCCACCTTTAATGAATACACATACATACATTAGACAGGATTTTTTTTAACACACCGTCCACAAAGCCTTTATTTCCCAGTTTCCCATTTATGGTTGACCCTACATTATGATGCAGTATATTAAGTCATTAACAAATACAACCTTAACCTTTGCTCTCTGTGTTTTCTTCACAGCTGCTTAAGTCCAGTGAAGGCCCTGCACTGAGGCGCCGACGTCACCTGGACTCCTCCAAGCCTTACATCGCTGCCAAGTTTGCCTCCCTGCCAACCAGCTTCATCGTGGGGGATGAGAAGATGAACAACGGCTTCTACAACAAACCCCTGGCCGGAGCGCAGAAGTATCTCTTCTTTGTCCTGGCTGTGCTCCGAAACGAAGGGACGGACAGCACTTCTAATTATGTAAGACACACATATAAGTGATGAAAATGATCGTTATCTGACAGAACAGGCAATCCATCTCAACAGCATTACTCATAATACTTTCTTTCTGTGTAAAGGCCACTCCTGTATTTGTGAGATTGAAACTCAGTTATCTCTGCCCTGTTCTGTTCAACCCTTTTTCAGACAAACAATTCAAATGAGTAACTTTTCCTCAGCCTCTAACCAGGCTGCCCCTTAAACGTTTCCATAATGGCCAAAGTGTCAAGCCAAATTGTTGTTGTTTTACAACCACTTACCCTTTAATACCCCTCTAAAAGTCACTGCAGCTTGTCCTGATAACACCCTTATCAGTCGACAATGACATCAGAGAGCTCTGCCTTTTCGACATACAGCAGGGCCCTCGCTGATCTCTTTACAATGCTTATACAAGGCTCTTGGCTTTTTAAGTGGAGGCCCCATGCACTCGTCAAACAGCACTAACACGGAGGCCCAGCTCTCCATGGGATGGTCTGGAGTAAACTTCACTGCAGGAGAAACGAGAGTCTGCGATTGCTCTGGGCTCCTGCTCTACCCCGGACATGCATATTCAGCAGCTGGGCCCTGGGCAGCCACAGAGGGGGAGAGAGCAAGCGCTCCATGTCCGAAACCAAATCCCAGACTTTTCACCTTTTTCTCTTTCTTCTCTCTTCCCTCTCAGCTCTTTTTCTTCTGCACACTTCCCTGTGTTTCTCTCCTTCTCCCCATCTTTCCCCACCGTGAAGAGAGCAGAGGAGATTGATTATTGTGGCTGGAGTTAAGAGGGAGACAAGGGCCTAGTCACATGGCCTAGGGAGTCTGTAAAGCAGGCCTGATTCCCTTGAAATGCTGCTTTAAATGTCCCTAAAGCCTCCAACCCCCACAATAATCCCACACTCCTTCGCTCTGAGAGGGGAGGGAGGTGTGAAGGAGGCTATAGTGGGCAGCCATGATACACTTGACTTCAAAGAAGATGCTTAAACCCCATCGCTGCACAAACACTCTCACTGCACCTGCCAGACACACCAGGTTGGATCAGTGGCGCTCAACATTTGTCTTTTTCTGTGTACTCCCCCTCTTTAAACTGTGTAGCCCCCTCCCCGCTCCAAACATAAATCGCTTAGATTAATCAGGCTTCACTCACATTGTGAGTCAATCAGTGTGCTTACTTTCGCTTGAGTAACCTGGATATCGACGCCTTTCTGCAGTAATCTTTTTTCTTAAGATTCATGCAAATCAAACACCTGATTATAGCTTTAACTGGGGTAAAGGTTTATAGAAGGTCAGTTACCAGGGCAACACTGAAAGTTATTATTCACCCTGATGAATTCCAACAGTTTTATATCCAGGTTTTTAATATGTTCTCATGTGCATCCCCAAAGCCTTGAGACAGAGCAGGTGTCCCTCTGACAGGGATTAGAGAAGAGATTGTTACTCGTCGCAGTGCATCCTTGTACTCAAAATAATGATATCCACTGAGACTGAGATGAAAAGTCTGAGTAAATTGACATCCATAGCTGAACAGTAGACTTTTGTAACAAATCAGACACATGTGCACAGTAAAAGGAATAACTGACAGCTTATTTTCTTCTTTTTTTTAAACTCTCTTCAGGCTGCAGCATTATATTGTGTCAACATTTCCACACAAATATGCCATTATGGTTAAAAAATATAGCAGGGGATAGGAACAAAATTCAATAACGGCCTAGGTAATTTGGGATGAACATTAACAAGATAACTGCAGTGCATGTTGACACCTTTATTATCTCTTTTCTTCCATTACAATGTCTTGTGTGCATGAAAACGTTCTGAATCCTAAGGTGGTGAGTACAGGCAGGCTGTCATTGATCGCCGCACAAATCCCCCAACCGCCCTCTTTGGGAAACTCAGATACCACAGCAGTGTTTGTTTTTGTCACCCCCAACGCGCCACTTGCTAACGTTTATTACCAAACAAAAGCGGGTAGAGAAGGTAAAGCGTGCAGCGAGATCGAGCGGCAGGCAGAAGCTGCCTCGAGCAAGATCTTCACAAGACCCTGGAGAATAAGACAACTGCAGTAAATGACTTGTGTCTTTACTATACTTCCTCGCCACCACCAAACTCCCTCAGCGTAGATCAAACAGGACCGCCAGGGCTTAATAAGCTCGCATATATCAATGGACACGAGCAGCCAGCAGTGGTTTGAGGGAAGAAGAGAAGGAAGGAAGGCAAATGAGGATGAGAGAGAGAAGAAGGAAAAGAAAGTGCCTTCATGTCTTCCCAGCACCCAAGGCAGATAAACAAGCCGGGGGAAGTGTGAAATGGGATGATAGATGCTGGGTGTGTATAAACAGTATCATTTAATGCAAGAAGTGAGGGAGGGAGGGAGGTAGCATGAAATATTGTGTGATGTGAGAAAGAGGGGAGGGGTGGTTTTGGAGAGGAAAAGAGGAAAGCATAATTGTTGTCCCGTCCAGCCTGTGAACCTCGAATGAGAGGAAGTGTTTCGGGGAGAAGAGTGTGCTAATGTCTGCTTTTCTTTTGATAAGGGAGAGGGTGAGCTTATGGCGTGGATAGAAACCAAAAACAGAGATGTGTTTACCACCGTCATCCAGGCATTCATATTCCACTCACTCTTAACGAGAATTGGTTTTGTAGCACTAATTCTGTTGGTGCTCTGGGCTCAAAACATCCTTAACATGGAAGACAGGCTTCTTTTAAATGTAGAAGGCTTTGACAAACAATATCAAGGAAGGAAGAATTTTTTTCTAGAGCATGAGCATAAGCCCAACTTTTCAACAAGGGTAGTAGCAGTATAGGCGACGTGATGTCCAGCAGTGCTGTATCACTTCTGTTCCTGGCGGCGCCCCCCTCTAGCAATCCCTCTGGATATCTGTACGCGTGGTATTCAGACAGCGCCAAAGGGAAATGTGAGATTTCTACGGCAAACCGAAAAAAAATAAGAAGGGAGAACTACAGTAAAAAGGAGAAGGGTCATCGCAGAGGGTAGTCCACACCCCGAGGCCACATTTCTGACATTAATCACACATGTTATCATCTTTGTTACCTCCATTTCTTTCCCTTCTCACTTTGTCTTGCTGTCTTTCCCCGTGTCATACAACAATGAGAAGAGTGTGGGCGTCTTTGCTTGTTTGTTTGTCTGGCGCATACCCCTGCAGCTCATTCAAGCCACTTTTGAGGAGACATGGAGCACACCGAGTTGAAACAAATGTGCCTCTGCGCTTAGCGGATACTGAGCTCTGGGGATGGCGGAGCAGCGGCTAACTGGCGAAGCTGTGTAGCCCACGGGCCAGATAGCAGGCTCCATTTACTGCTACTACCATAACACCTCTGCCTCACTCTCTCTTCCTCTGTCTCCTCACTGCCATCTCTTATCACCCACTCTCTCTTGTTCTCTTACGCTGTCTCAGACAAACACTTACAATCATACACGTACTACTCACTCAGTGGTTGCTACCTTGACAATACTCACACTTGTGGAGGCTCAAAAGGATCTTGAGATGCTCACACACAAGCTCTTACACACATCAGTGTACAGTCTTTACACACAATCAAACACTTTCTCTCACTGACACAAGCTATACATCAATAGCAGCCGGAGTGCGGGAGGGAGTGCGGTCGTCTTTCAACCAGAAGGTTGTGGGTTCGATCCCAACATGTCGATGTATCCTTGGGCAAGATACTTAACCCTGAGTTGCTCCCGATGGCATGGCCAACGGTGTGTGAATGTGTGTGAATGTTAGTTCTTAGAGTAAGGTACACTGCTCTGTATGAATGGGTGTGAATGAGTGAATGACATGTAGTATGTAAAGCGCTTTGAGGGGTCGTAAAGACTGGATAAAGCGCTATACAAGTACAGTCCATTTACCATTGAATTAACTTATAATGCCCACAGTTTTATATAAAGTATAAACAGTAATGTAATAATACTCATCTGCAGTTTTAACAAATATAGTCACATTCATTTCCTCTGTCTGTTCTCAAGGCAAGGCAAGTTTATTTATATAGCACTTTTCAACACAAGGCAATTCAAAGTGCTTTACAAAAAATTAAAGACATTAAGAAAAAGGCATTTAAAATCAGTCATTAAAAAGAAAAGCTAATAAAATAAACATTAAAAGAAAAAATACATGGATAAAAGTTACAGTGCTGTCTAAGATATGAATGTTCAATTAAACATTAAAAGAAAAAGTACATGGATAAAAGTTACAGTGCAGTCTCAGATATGAATAGTTCAATTAAACATTAAAAGAAAAAGTACATGGATAAAAGTTACAGTGCAGTCTAAGATATGAATAGTTCAATTAAAAGCAGCGACAAAAAGAAAAGTAGGGATGGGGTTTAATAGGATGTGATCAAATAAGAATCTAATATATTTGTTGTATTCGCTTCCTTTATCAAATCTATTGAGCTTTGGTTTTCAATGTTTTAAAGCAACTTGAGAAAATGGAGACCTGTAATCACTTTCTGCTGTTTGAGAAGGCACTTCAGTATTGAGTGGCAGCTTGATTACAGTTCACAAATTGTCAGCCTGACCTGAAAGTCTATCCTTACCTCCCTTCAGCTGAGAACCAGCTCCAGCTTAAACAGACAAGAGCCAAAAAACAATCCTGTTGCCATAATTCAAATATCTAATGTTATCAAGATGAATTAGCTACAGTTACATCATTTCAAGGTCTCTATCTGCAGTGGTGAAATATGCATCTGAATGCTATGCACTGTACAATGGTATGTTATTAACCTGAAGATGACCCTACTTCTCACGTACATAAACACACTGAATCAGAGTGTTATGCATATACATATACTTACTCTCACTGTCTCTGACTCACCCACTCTCAGTCTCACACATTCCTTCACTGCACCATCGCTCCATTGTGATACCACTCTGCGAGGCATTAGGAGCTGCGTGACTGAGCTTTTATCAGATATTAGGCCCGTTCAAATGGATGATCTCAGTGTTCGGCCGTGACCAACAGACAAAAAGCCCTTTTTTCCCTCTGTCCCTCTTCTCTCATGTCTTCCTCACTTTTACTTCTCTAAAAGCACAGCTGCAGTCATTTGTTACACCATGAAGAAAAAAGTTCCCAGGAGATCCCCGCAGGGACACATCCTACAGCCTTTTTCGGCCCTCCCAAAGGAACAGGAAGCCTTGTGGTGTCGTCACATCAGCTGTGTCCCACTGCTGTGCCTTCTCTCTTTGTTCTTAAATAATACGGTTCTCCCACAGGCACACAGAGACGAGAGAGAAATGGTCTCATGTGGCTGGTGCGTGTTTTTGTGTGTGTAAAGACAAAGACAAATGAAAACAATTTCTTCTTCTATATACCACCGCTGTAATAGGAACAATCTGTTCCTGTGACTTTCCTACTTGAATTATCTTGTGCCAGGGCCTAATATCAGAGCATGCTGGTTTGCACGTACACGGCTGAGACATGCTCGCGCACACATACTGTCCTTTTTTACGGCAATTGCCCAAGAGTATGAGAGATAACAGAAGTATATGACAGAACGCAGAACTCTTTGAGCCCATCTCAGCTTATCTTTCCAATTAATATCTGCCTGTGTGCCGAAGAGCAGGCTGCTGTGCGGCTAATGATCCGGATTACTGCTGCCTGCCGCCCCGCCACTCCCGCTGCATGCTGGGAGACCAATTCCCTTCCAGAGCTGCGATCTGTCACCCATGCCCCTTCGTAAACCCCCTCCGTAAACCCCCTCCCCTCCAGGACCTGCGTCTCCCATCGTCGTGCAATAGAAGGCCTGCTGAGCTCTAATGACAGACGCCTCACACCTCCCTCTTTCTCTTTCTCCTCTGTCACCTTGCTCTCTTGCAGTTGGACTTTTTCACACACTTCAAAACACCATACTGCGTACCCTCGTGCACCCACTTTTCAGACTTCCGCTCACACACACACACACACACACCTCCGTTCCTCCCCCTCCGTCATTGGAAGACGAAGTAGCATAGAGAGGTCTCATTTACAACCAAGGTGGAAACGCACCCTTACCGTCGCCTATTCCTCCTCCCCTTCCGTCACGGTGTGAACACTAATGAAGAAGAGATGAGTCCTCTCCTGTGCTTCCATTTATCTCAGCGGCCAAGGGACATGCACACTCACCCCTGCCTCTCTCACTCTCCTGTCTCACACCTGCTCTGTCATCATCTCTAACGGGATGCACTGCTTTAATAGAAACATAACTTCATTAGCCGAGATGGTTATTGTTTTTGCGAAAGTGTCTCTTGAGTTAGATCTATAGCTTTATGGCTCGTTCTGCTGCATCCCGGAACCATGGTCTGTCATTAACAGGAAACAAGTTCATCCTCAGGCTGCCAGTAACTAGAAATGTGCAGATAGTTTGGTCATTTGTCTCCCTGTTCTTATCACAATAAACAAGGTAGGGCTGCTCGATTATGGCAAAAATCATAATCTCGATTATTTGGGTCAATAATTGATATCACGATTATTAAAAAACGATTATCAATTTACTTTGAAAACATCAATTTATTGGAGAAAAAAATGTGAACAGTATGTTTTTAACAGTTGATTACCCGAACTTTAAGTATAATTCAACTGAAAAAACAATTTTGAAAAAAGTTTAAAAAAAGTAATAATAATAATACAAATATTATCGTTTTATTTCAATCACGTTGTTTTTGTAATCGTTGCAAGCCATAATCGTAATTGCGATTAAAATACGATTAATTGAGCAGCCCTAAAACAAAGCTAGTTTTATGTATTAAACATTGTTGTTCCCTTTGTCTTATCATCATTACAATACAATACAATACAACTTTATTTATGAAGCACTTTAAACCTCCAGACCAAAGTGCTGTACAGGCAAATAGATAAAACAAAGCATACAAAAAAGTAACACAGCTCAGCTCACACACCATAAAACAAGTACAAGTAAAAACAAAAAACAATTTAAATGCAAAAAAGCAACACTCTGAAAGATGTTGAAATGCCAAATGTTAAAACGCTAAGGACAAGAGGTGGGTTTTAAGAAGCGATTTAAAATCAGGCAGTGTGGAGGCCTGTCTGATCTCCAGGGGCAGAGCGTTCCACAGTTTGGGAGCCGCGACAGAGCTTTGACCTGGTTTTAGGCACATTCAGGAGCAGTTGGTCCGCTGACCTGAGAGGGCGGTTCGGCGTGTAATGCTGTAGCAGCTCAGCAAGGTATGGTGGGGTCATGCCATTTAGGGATTTAAAAGTAAATAAAAGAATTTTAAAATGGATCCTAAAATAAATTGGCAGCCAGTGGAGAGAAGCTAAAACAGGGGAAATGTGGTCATACTTCCGTGTGCCAGTTAAGAGCCTTGCTGCGGCATTTTGCACCCGCTGCAGTCGTGCGAGGGAGGACCCACTGACCCCCATGTAGAGAGAGTTACAGTAGTCCAGCCGGGTGGTGACAAAGGCATGGATTACTGTCTCAAACTGCTGTCTGGAGAGAAAAGGTTTTACTTTGGCTAGCTGCCTCAGGTGATAAAAGCTCGTTTTTACCACCGACTTAATCTGACTCTCAAGTTTGAGTTCACGGTCCATTTTAATACCAAGGTTCGTAACGGTGGGCTTGGTGTACTGATGCAAGGAACCCAGGTCTACAGAAGTGGTGTCAGTGGTGCTACCAAAAACCATTATCATTATAAAAATGATAATGATTATGTTTTCCATAAGTCTGTTGATGCTTCTATTGTAGTAAAAAGCACCTACAGCAATTCACTTAGCCAGTATACTTGAAATAAATTAAATTCTAACTTTATAAAATAAACAATCACACAATAAATAAATAACCATAAAAAAAAAATGTTTTGAATGTTGACTTTACCTTCACCACGTTCCTTGGCTTTTTGCTTTTAAGGAAGTCTAAAGCTTACTGTACATTTCCATAAGAAGGGAAAACCTTGCATACATCTGATACTCCAAAGTGACACCTGCACTTTCTCTTTTTTCTTTTCCCTCACAGATGACATTCTCAGCAAGTCCCTATTCAGACCTGATCCAGGCCTCTCCGAGCATAACTCAGGATATGGAGCAACCCGAAATGTTGTGGGTCATGGGCCCGGTGCTGGCTGTGGTCCTCATCATTTTAATCGTCATCGCCATCCTGCTCTTTAAGAAGTAAGAAGTTATTTGTATTCTCTCTCCTCTGTGTTTGTGTGAGGTTGAACTGCATTGACACTTTTGATTGTTGGTTTCTTTTGGTTGCATCAGGAATGGTAATGAGCGTGCTCCCTTCCTGCACCAGGCTGCTCACACCAGACCGTTACATTCAATTTCCTTACCGTAATATACAGTAAGATGAGAAAAGTAACCAAAGGCAGATTCATTTGTCTTTCAGAAAATCATAATTTCTCCATGAAAGATTGAGAAAGAAGTCCTTTTTGACAGTACAACGTGAAGTGTCAGTTTTAAATGGCAGCTGACGTTGCCTCCCTAATGAAAAGCACAGCTTGGCTGTCAAAAACCCTTAGTTAGGAGTGAGAAATGTGTTTTGGCTGCCACCATTGGTCATTTAAAAAATAAACAGAAGGCTGCAACAGAGGGCTTAACTAAAAGCTCAGTCAATATCTCTTAAAAGCCGTCACTGTCCAGCACACCGTGGAAACACGCAGGCCAGAAAGGTACTGGGGTGGTACAGATAAATGGATCATTATAAAACTAGCACATTCAAACATTTGCTGGCTTCTACTTAACTGTTGATTTTTCTTTTCTTTTGACTTACATTTCTTTATAAAGTGTAGGTTTTAGACTCTCAACCTGGAACTATAAAAATGTTGCTTCTCACTTAAAGAATGACTTGGAATTGATAAAGATTATCGATTATTTAATCAGTTAATGAACCACTTGGCCTGTCTCTAGGCTAGTTAGTATTTTTACAGAGGAGACAATCCTAATGTGGTTTGGACGCTATAAGAAATACCATCTAGATGAGAGTTTAAAGATTGACTTATTGAGTCCCACCTCCCTATTTTCCCCTGATTGCTTCATTATGAACTCTCCATTTCATATCATACCTATTCTCCGACCTGCCATCCACAGCCTTGCAGACAGCTACGTGGCTGCCAATACTGCCACACTTACAAAGGGACTGGTTAATAATAGGCCTGGAGACAGCACACTGCTGAGTAGCACACCCTCTGTCTGGAAGCTCTTTCTCCATGTAGACACAGATCGACAGGAGGGACTGTGGGGAGGTGGCTGTGTGCCCTTTTCACTGTGGACTGGCAGTAAATGTGCAGGAATAATAACGCTCTAGTTCGGCTTGTTATTGCTACCTACATATACGCCAAGACTAATACATGCGGGGAACAATGATGAGGTTATTCTAAAAAGTGTGCAGCTAAGATAACTTTTTACGCTGTGCTTTCAAGATGTGGTTAACATTTTTGGAAGAGCTGGAACTAGCTTTCTGAAAATAGTACAGATGCAGAACACTGGGTAAAGAAGTTATAGGTTCATATGGATAACTATTACCTATTAATACCCCTCCCTCTCTTTTTGCCCTCTGTGAAAGCAGCAAACAGGAAAGGTGGGTACTTCACTGTTACATAAGTCACAACCCCATCTACCATCACCCAAGTCCCTTTCATTTGTGTTGTGAACTTGGTGGTATTCATCAGCTCTTGCAGGGTCAGCTTCCTCTCAGCTCCTCTCATATAGAAATAAAAGGAAATGTCTTTAATCTGATCTGGTGCATATTGAAGGAGATGAGAAGCAGCTGACTCTGCAGTCGTTGATACCTGGGGTCAAAGAAACCCCTAGGTCACGTCTGTGTAGCAGCGCATGTTCCACGTCTAGTGCAAATGTTCCTCCTCGGATCTGCCATGGTTTGTCTCCGTGCTGTGTCTCATTATCCAGCCAGTGTCAGCACACCCCACCACGATTGGCCCCATCTGAATATGCCAAGGCATCACCTGCTGCTGAATGGCCATTGAGAACTAAATGCCAGACTGGGAAACTGCTGTAAAAGAAACGTTCCCATCTTTTAAGCTGACATTTTCCACCGAGACCCATTCCTCCACTTTTAGCCTTTTTTTCCCCTCTCCCTGCTTCCTCATGGCAGGAGGTTCAACAAAGGGCCCTGTTCTATCCTCATTAAGCACACTCTGTTCTGCACACACACTCGCACTGTGCGTGTGTGTATACGTTTGGGTATACTTACATTCTCACACGTCTTAACCCTCACTTTCAGCCTGAGATGAATAACCCCATTCAGATTGCTGCCGTGTTTACTTTAGCTCAGCACTAAAGTGTGATGTAGATTGGCATCTGATTGGGTCAGACGGAGAGATGAGGGGTCTGGAGAACAGATCACACATGCCCAACTTTTCTGCCCCCCTCCCCACAGCCGAGCTTAGCACCAGTCGTGATCTCTGGGAAAACCGGATACGGCCCCGTCACGCTGCTAGCATTAGCTTAAGCCGCTGCAGCATAAGATAACAGGTGGTGGTGAGGCCCGGGCCCCAGGGCTGAGGTGGACTGTTTTAAAGCTGTGTGTGCACCGCCAGCTTTATGTATTCTCACCACGCCTGGCTTCAACAGAAGGCCCTGCTCCTGCCTAAAACCCACACTTGCCACTTGCAAATGGAGTGCAATGAGATGTGAAATTTCCACAGGGCGCCCTGATGGTTCCTTCCGCCCATTTCCATTTGCAGTCAGAAGGCTTGTGAGTCTGCAGCTGTATCTTTGAGAGTGTGTGTAGTTGTGACAGAGATGGGAAAGCATGCATCTGTGTGCCTGCTTGTGTGTGTATGTCAGCAGATGCCGGCTGTCTGAACATTAGAATACAGGCAGGCTGCGTTTTTCTGTTCCTATCTCCGCCTCATGGACAACGCTACGGTCGACTGAGCCGAGCCAGTCCGAGCTGTTCAGTTCTGTGCTGTGCTAGACTCAGCTAGGCCGGGTCTGGCAGCGCAGGTGCTGCAGAACCGGTCTAATTACCCAGTGTTGTGCCACCCAGCTGATGAGCTAATTACAGCATCCGCCTGTTTCCCTCTCAATCTGGAAAGCAGTAAACACAATGTGTTGTTAGCACACACACACACAGCAGCTAAAATCACACAATTAAATATTGTCTACACTCAAACACACACACTCATGTACACATACCCGCATAGCAGCTGTCACCTATCCAGCAGCAAACAAACCCAACCTTTGCCACTCCAGGAAAATGATTGCGTTTCTTCAAACACATTAACCTCCAGTTGGCAAACTGAGGCTGATGCCCTGGTAACTAGTGTCTCTTGAATTCCTGGTCCTCAGAACAAGTTTTGAGAACCATTAACCTCATCAAATGTGTCATTTCACTTGCAGTTAGCTTGAGAAGTTGATGCATGTAGGTGTTGTTGGTATGATGTGTTTAACACCTTACTGTCTGTTTCTGCCACCTCAGGAAGCGGGCGTCTCCCCTACCTAAAGATGAGCAATCAGGTGGGGTTAAAGACTCCCTGCTGGCCAACTCCTCCGACCCAGTGGAGATGAGAAGACTCAACTACCAGACCCCAGGTAATAAACAACGGTCAAAATATCGTACATGTAGCCACATATGGCAACTTTACTTCTTTACCTCAGCAACTACCCTAAAATAAACTTCAGCGTTCATGACATATAGGATGGCTGATAGAGATGGAAAGATTCCTGTTGACAATTTGATGGTTGTGTCAGGATTAAAATACTATGTTATGACAATACAAAACCATCACATTTACAACTTGTTGACATGAACAGTATTTACAAGTGGGTATCATGAAGTCATCATAATTCCAATATGACATGGAAACATAATCAACCTTCAATTGCTCTTAGCGCCATAGTGATAAACTGAGGAAAGTTGTATTGGGCAACTTGGTTGTATATTAAGTGTGTGCGTTTTAATCAGGTGTTTTGGTTCAGTCAGTCTTTCATTACAAAATTGTAAAAATGGTATGCTGCTGTTTGACTGAGGATTTCAAACAGCTTCATTCCAAAATGAAAATCCTCCCTGAAATTCATCAGATCATCCTTTCTTCTCTGCTGAAGGGAAATATCTAAAGGGAATTCATTTAACAGGGTTTCTAAGTATCATGTACTTTCTAGCTTGTTTCCCCTCAAAAAGTAGATATTGCATTTCGGAATGATGTTTCCCTTTTATCAACAAAACTCTATACAGCTTTTCCAAAAGCAATCTACTCCTGCAATGCTGTTCTTTTGATGGATCTTTTGTTTATTAGTGCTTTGTAGCAGGTGTTGCCGTCTGAAATTCATATTTTTGTTATTCATCCTCAGGCTGTAAATCTGACCAGCTCTCAAAAAAAGAAAAATGTGTCAATAAGAGAAAATAAACAAATCACGTTCACCATCACAGCGAGTGCTGGACGGTAATGGAGTCAGAGTGCATTCACATTCCATCCACGCACAGCGGGGGGGGGGGGGTTTGTCAGGGCGCCCGCCTCAGCATCAGCCTTCTTCCTTTTTCTTCCTGATCTCCTCCTTCCTCCCCTGGTCCTCGCTCCTCCTCCCTCCATCAGCTCCTTTCATTCCCCCTAGCTGGTAATGAGTCCTGCTGCCTCTGATGTCAAGGTGAGCCAGGCGGAGGGAACAATGGAGCTGAGAGAAAATGTCAACCTTGTTGCACGCGCGCTTGTGCGCGTTTCTGTGTGTTTTCTGTGTGTGTGTGTGTGTGTCCCTTCTCACGGGTTATTAAATATCCCATTCGCTGTACACACAGATACACACACAGAGCCCCTTTGAACCCCTGCAGAGGAATTAAACAGTACTCCACCTCTTTCCTCTTTTGTCTTCCATTTTCCCTGTAGGGTAATCGCTCTCTCTCTCTTTCTCTCACTCTCTGTCCCTCTCTCTCTCTCTCTGTACATCAACATCTTGACAACCCCTTTCCCCCTCACTGTTTTGCTTCATGAGTGGTGATCAAAAAATCACCAAGGCTGTGTTTAGCTTGTGAAAACGGTTGAGATTCCAAGGTTGAGCCGAGCAAATATTGAACCGTCCATTCTTTTGTCCTCTAGCTCTTTCTCCCTTTGATTCATCCACAGAAGGTGAACGTTCCTGCTCTGATTCTGAGTGTTGTTAAGTGGTCTAGCCAATTGCCGCTCATGTCTAGCATGTTTGCTGAAGAGACTGCAGCGGCCCTTTTTGACACTTCAGCAGCAGACGTGCGGTTCTTTGAGTAACTGACCTGCTTTATCCTTGCCAGACCTGGTTCAGATAGTATTTGCAAATACCTTACTAGGATCAAATGTGTTTCACTTCAGATACAGCGAGTGGTATATGCAGTAGGGCAATTTACAGTAAGTGGTCACAAATAACTATTTTAATATTCAATTAGGGGATATTACCAACATTTTGGGTGCACTAAATTTAATTCGACCTCCAAATAAAGTGAAGTGCTGTTCATGTTCCCATATCTCAGTAATTACTTCATTGTTATTATCATAACTGATTTCCATCAAAATGATGACTGAAGCAATGAAAAGGCACCCATAAAGTAAAAATTCCCTCTAAAAATGAACATGTAATGCCCGGTGTTCAGTAGTTAGTTCCCACTAAGCGGTCGCAGGGGAGTGTTATAAATGCAGGGTTCTGATAAACATCCTAAACAACACTGCTTGAATTGTCCTGAGATCCAACACCACCTGCTGCGTTCTCCAACCAGCTTGAAAGGTTATTTGCAGATACTGTTGGGCCCTGGTCAGATCCTGAGTCTTCCTCATTGATTGAGTGTTCTTCTTCCTCCCTCCTTCACTCTCCTCTCTCCACAGGTCCCAGCTCTCATCGCTGCCCCAACACTCCAAGTTAGTCTGCTCTCTCACCTACTGTGTATTTCCCACACATGCAGTCTCCCCTCCCTGTTCACTCTCTCCTGATCCCATTCCCCCGTTGCCCCCTGACAGACATCACAAGCCCACAAGCTTGTAGCCTCTGGCGCTCCAAGGATGCAGCGAGGTCCTCTCTTTAGCTGGGAACCTCCCACGACACCTTTTTGGTGCGGAAGCAGAGGACTAGATGGTTTCATGGATAGTTGAGCAGTGCGGACAGTTACTCTTGCTGTGCATTAGCCTTATTATCTATGGCTTCACTCTCCATTTAAGCAACAACACGGCTGTAGAAGACCTGGGTGAACATGCACAAACACATACACACTGATGTTAATGTGCTCATAGGTCCCTCAGTGCAATTACAGTATTAAATTAGTGTAATTGGTCAGGTTTCATCTTGTGCAGTGGCCATAGTTACCAGCCATTATCCATTAGCATTACAGCATAAATGAGCTTACAGCTGTTGCTCATCTAAAAGCAGGAATTTAAGCTGACCAGTTTGATCACGGATTTTAAACTCATTTTAAAAAAGCTGGAGAAATCATCTGTGGGTGTTTGCACCTGCTATAACTGTATATGGATTTCAATGACTACTTTTTTTACGATGTTGTATTTTAGTGTTGCCTCTGTGTTTAGTGTCCTGTCTGTCTGTAACTTTGTGTGGTAGTGACAGGTCTCTCTTGAAAATGAGACCTTGTATCTCAATGAGATTTTACACCTGTATAAATAAAGGCTAAATAAATCAAAAATGACCCATAACCTTACAGATGCGCTCAGCCACAGGCACGATTGTTTGGCTTGAAGGCTTTATGCTACATTAATGAGGTTCCGTGTATACCTTTTTAGAGCCTCTTCATGCGTCGCATACAGTGACTTTTACCACACAAGGCAAGTTCCCAGCAATCCGTTTAAGCACAGAGCCTTGCCAAGTTCAGAGGCACAGAGGGAATTTGTGTCGGTAGATTAGCAATAAATCGTCCAATAACTCTTCGATGAGAAATCTAGAGAATGACAGGGGGAGGGTTGTTGGATTAATCCAGCCCAAGCACTCCAGGCTGGGCCGTAAGATAGTCTATTGTAAGGAAAGAGGTTTTCAAAGAAATGAGTTTTGGCTGATGACCAGTGAGTTTCTTTTTCTTCTGTGGGAAGTGAAAGTGTGACTGATTTGTAGAGACTTGTGGGTTCTTGCTCTGATTCCACCTCTGCCACCAATTGAGTGTTGTGGAATCAGAGCGATGTCTGCCTCATGCTTCCCTCCAGGAGCATGCTCACCCAGTCACTCATGTGCATCGCCGTGCCCACCCCACCTCTGTCCTCCTCACTTAGCATGACGACATCAACAAATGTCACCAGCCTGTTTCAACTTTTGAGCTCTCTCTCTCTCTCTCTCACCTCTCTCTTCTCTCTCTCTCTCTCTCTCTTTCTTCATGCATTGTTGAACAAAGTGCACTCTCTTCACCGTTACACAGCCACCTCATGGTCCCACCGGCAGCCTCATTCACCCCGTGGTCCAACCATAGTTTGTGTCGATGTGCGTGTTTGGTGTAGGCACAGCTCGGTCTCACTCTTTTCTTTGTCTTTCCCCCTGTTCCTCTTCCTTTCCCAGGAATGAGGGAACACCCACCCATTCCTGTCACTGACCTGGCCGACCACATAGAGCGACTGAAGGCCAATGACGGCCTCCGCTTTTCCCAGGAGTATGAGGTAAGACCCGTGCACTCATAATGTATGAAAGTGTCCCTTTGAAGCATATACATGAGTTTCATTGTTATTTTGTCTGAAAGGAATTGTTGTCATTATGCCTCTTTGATCCCATATGCATGTATTCTAATGGATTATGAAAGACTTCTTTCACAGAAATGTTTCAGTCATTTTTACAACTCTATTACCAATCCCACCAGGAAACTCACACTTACAATGAATGCTGCAAGATGCTTTCTCACAAAACTAGCAGGTGGCGAGTTGCTTAAGCAATCTGTGTGCGTCTTGATGTTTCCCCCGAAAATGTTATTTTGCAGGCGGTCTCCCCATTGCAACTCGGTGAGGGATTATCTCTTGTCAGTGTTCTTACTAGAGAGAAAAAAGGGAGCACATTTACATTTAAAGTGGCACATAGTGGGTTTGGGGACGAAGCAAGGCCAGGTGAAGAGAAAAGGCATCCTAGAATACAGAAAAACAAGAGCCGTCTTTTATTTATTTGTTCTGACCGTTCGATCCGTTTTGTCTAATCAGCTCTATTCCTCACATTGATGGGTCAGCCTGGCCGTTGGAACAATTGTAGACATATTTTTTTTACTTTCACCTAAAAAGTGTGTACAGTATGTGTTGCTACAGCATGAAATGTGCTCTTTAATTTCGAACTCCCCAGAGGAACAGCTAATTTATTTTGGTGACCTCATGACCTATCCTCCAGCATCACCACAAGCCAAACCTTTATTAATGCTCTGTTAAAAATGTGAAAATAACATTTATTCCATAAACTTACATTATTGTTATAAACCCTGTGCCATTGTCACAATGAAGAAAAATAATTTACAACCTTATATGGTGCTTACAATAACATCCAATGTTATTGAGTGTTTGGTCTTGCATGAATGAGGTGAATTAAATTAATTCAGATTTCATGCATGAGCTTGTCTTAATTGTAGTACAAAAACTAATGTATTCTAATTTAACAACCATGCAAATCCTACCTTCAAGAAGGTTAGGGTGCCACGTTTTTGTTGAAACTGCTGGAGTGGCATTACTTTGACTTCAATGTCTTTTTGTGGTGATTGTCATACTGAGAGGTGTTTCTAATACTTTTCAACCTCCTTTATATCAGTGAGGGTAGACTAAAACAAGTATAATTTTGAATATAATCTGTAAGAAGGAGCCATTATAATGTGTAGAAAAATACTTATATGACAATACAGTTTATATGATATGATGTAAAACATATTGAAGTGATTCGCCATCAAATTAACTGGGGAGATAATTAGGCCGTGGTAAAAGTCTGCACTCAGTTAAGTGCTGTCTTGTGTTACTCAGAGCCATCCAGCACATCACCCTCCCAGCCTGTTGAGTTAGTGTAAACGAATCAGGCCCTGGAAGTGGCTTGTATGACTGCAGGCAACCGGCCCAGCCCCGTTCCCTCTCCGCAAGTCATTCCAAGCCAGGGAAGACCCCCTCCATGGCCCGGCAGATGGCCCACTATCTCTGTGCCAGCCGAGGCGGAGCTCACAGCGCTTTGTCACGTTCGCCGGCTGCTCGCGTTGAGCCTTACCCAAAGGAACAGAATTTATAGAGGCTTCACCACTTCCTCTCCCCGATGTTTTAGGCGGAATGACACTTCCTTAGCCACCAACGCCAGTCCACATAACACTGAGCAATGTGCACAGCGGGTAATGAGCAGAATTTGACAATCAGGCATGCTTCAGCCCCCGCCCCCCCCCCCCCCCCCCCCCCCCGACTGTTTCTTTAACGCAGGAAGCAACATCACGCTGCAGTCGTCATAGCATCATTATGTCCATTTGAAAGCGTTTCCAATATGTCAGCGAGAATACCTTGGGCGTTTGCTTCTCACCTCTTTCTAGCATCTCTATCTAACTTGTTTACCAGTTGTCATGAGCCTAGTGTGCCTGCTGTGTTCACTGAGCTTTCAAATGGCTATGACTTTTTTTGACTGCAAATTAAATCGTTGTCTTCTTACTGGCGGGCACGGACTGAGAAAATTGGCAATGCTGAGCTCATCAGCAGCAACAGGCCTATACCCGCATGACTCTTAGTGCTGAGCAATTTGGAGCTGTAGTGGAACATTTCTTGTATATGAGCACTACACATTTTTCATATTTAGTTCGAAGACAAATATCATGTACATGACTTTCTCTGGCAATTAACTTTGAATATAACAAAGCTTGTATATAACCGATTCTAGGTGTCACTTTACGTAATAAGACAAGATAGATAGTGATAACTGAAAAGTAACTGTTGTCACAGGAGAGCAATTAAAAGCTAATTTCCTGTACTTTGTGATTTACAAATTAACTTAAAGTATCTTGATTGTTTTAATTAGACAAACCACACATTTATCAAGTCTAGCTTAGGACTCCAGTGTTAAAAATATTACATTGCTCATCACTTTATGGCCCTGGATCTGAATCTCCACACGCTCCAGGCCTCACCCTGTGCCCTCTAGTTTATCATAATCCAATAATTATGATTATTATGAGTGAGCTGTCCCGCTTTGACACAAGATAACCTCTAATAATTAAATTAGTGCTACAGCTCTGTTAAGTAAGTGAAGGATTTTCAAAGGTGTCATTCTGACTCCTGCTGGATTTGCGAGGCGAAAGGTCTGGGGAATTAGTGGACATGGTTCCGGTGTGAGCCGAGGGAGATCGATTCGGAATAACAAGAGACTCTGTGACATTATCGAGCCAAGGGATGGGAGGCCATCACATATCTCCCCCGATCAATATGTATGCAGTCTACTGTCGTCTCAGCCCGGGAGACAAATGACGTAAGAACCAAGGGGTTAGAAACAGAGAGGATAACATGGAGAGGCTGGAACCAAAATACAAGATAGGAAAGGGCAACAGAAATAGAAGATGAGGAAGAAAGAAAGACAGAGGATGAGAAGTTGAATGGTTACCACAGGAAATCATGCATGTGACTTCTCAGAATTAGGTAATTCGATAGGACCGCCCTAGAGGGAGAGGATGAGTGTTTGTGGTCGCCTGCAAGCTTAGCCGAAACCTTTACTCGTGTCCCAGCTGAAATCTATATGTTCATCATGTTGGCATTAGGAATTGGAGGAATATGTTTGCCCTGTTTAAACAATCCGTGGAAGGTGGCTCTTTCTAGTTGTTGTTGATTTAAATCACGAAACCGTTTATTCCTCATTAGCATTCAAGGCATCTAATGTCATGCAAATAATGAACCTGTTGTAGTTGCAGTGATGCGGCAACATGACACTTTAGCCTCTTTCACACAGCCTGTTTAAGGTGGTGCCGTTCGTCTGCCTCGCTGTTCAGTATAAAAGGTACAGAGATGGATTTTGGGGGCATAGTTGCTCAGCCTCGTAACCAGCAGTGGAGATAGTCACAGAGCCGAATTAACGTCTGTGAAAAAGGGAAAACCGGCAGGGCAGAACTAAACTTGCAAACACACACTACACCAAGTGCTTTTTTGTTACGAGTCACTCCTCTTTTGCTTCCTTTAATGCTTTCTAAAATCACACACCCGTGTAGAATGAGAGTGGCGTAGTTTAGTTCAGCAACAAAACAACAGCGGATATTTTTTGCGGAATAAAAAAAAGGGGCCATTGTTATCTAATAGCTTTACTCTGCACAATCTCCTACACTGTATAAAAGCACTTGTAGCACTCTACTGTGGCTTTTCAAGAGACATGATGTGGGTACATGTTCCATTTAAAGGCTTTGTTGACCACAGTATACTGCTATTGAATGGGTGACAGCAGAAAGTATAATAAGTGTACTTACACTCTTTCTGTCTTGCTACCTTTTATCCGTGTAACACTCAAGAGCCTCCTTTGTGCTTCTGTTTTTTTTCTCTCTCTCCATCTTCCTGTCTCTTATTCTCTCATTCCCTCTCTCACAGTCCGTTGATCCGGGGCAGCAGTTTACCTGGGAGAACTCCAACATGGAAGTCAACAAGCCAAAGAATCGCTATGCAAACGTCATCGCCTATGACCACTCCAGAGTGGTGCTCACCTCTGTTGATGGTAAGGGCTCAGGTAACCTCTCCGCCCCGTCACATCGACATACTTCACAAATACCAATGACATTTAGTATGCCTACAGCTGCTTTAGAAATCCCCAGTTTAACCACGTACACACATACACTGTTGTTGCTTTAATATAGAGTGTTGCAAACTTATCAGATCAATAAACCATACTGTGTAATATAACCGTTAGTTGCTTCATTTATGTCTTTGTTACAGCGGTTCCAGGCAGTGACTACATCAACGCCAACTACATCGACGGCTACAGGAAGCAGAATGCCTACATCGCCACTCAGGGGCCGCTGCCGGAGACCCTGAGTGACTTCTGGAGGATGGTGTGGGAACAACGGTCCAACACCATCGTCATGATGACCCGACTGGAGGAGAAGTCCCGGGTAAGGAGAGACGGTGTCATTTAGTGTACTATAAAGCGCTGACAATCATTGACTTCATACCAGTTCAATCTTAATGATGTATTCATTTACTGACATGTGCATAGTAAAACATTTAATTACACATATTAGGTAATGTATTAACAATAAACAACACATGAAGTCAATCATTAGAAATTGTAAATAGTAAGTCGTAAAAAAATGACTTCCTCATAATAAATTAGTGAAATACAATGCAATAAAGAAGCCAGAAATACTTGATCATGTTGTAGATTTCAAAGCATTTACATGGAGCAGATTATGGTCAAATACAAGGTATGATTGAAGTCACACCCTTTAAAACTACTGGTGGCCTCTATGAATCGGACGAAATGTGATACTAGAGGAGAACAGATGACTATCGTGTACAACTCAAGGCCATTGAAGTCAACCGTATCAGACGTATCAGCTGAAATGTGGGCAGAAATGGATCCCCCTGACATATAAATGTATATATTTGTATGTAGTTCAACACCAGGGAAGTAACATTACACCCAAAAAAACCTGAATGCATATAGACACCCGGCCCTACTTAAAAGCAGGATTTGTCAGCCTGATCAAAGTCTTAAGCACTTCAAAGGATATTTTTGTATTACTGCTTCTCTCATGATTCTTCTGCAATCTCCAAAAACGTCTCCGTGAATTCAGTCTAAATCTGTTTGTGAAGAAGAATTGCACAACAGCTTTTCTACTATTTTCCATTTTCCCTCCTGCTGTTTGTTTGCCACTTATGGCTAAATAACCATGGCAACTTTGCATATGATGACAACACGCGCATACCCTCGACTGAAAATCAGCTCAATAGAGTATAGTTACATTTAAATGTTCACAATCATGCAAATTATTTTTCAGTTGTTATTTAGAAACTTCTCAGAGAGTTTCGATACTTGATTGCTCCATATTTATTTTAGCCAAAGTTTCAGTCAGTAGAAATTGTGTGTGCACTTTCTGAGTTTGACTTTCGAAAGACTCGGCACGCAGTATAATGAAAACTCTGAAGTTGGAGTTAAGAATATTGTCTCCCAACAATACTGTGTGCTTCCTAAAATACATTCAAGCTAATAAAAGCAAAAATAGAGCATGAGGGTAAATTGAGATCCAAAATTGGGATGGGTTTATTTAATTACCTTCACAAAATCATGCTCATGAATTCCTTGGAGGAAATAAATCAGTGTGGAGCTCTGCCAGTATGTGGTGCTTTATTAGTGTGTGCACTCGGTGCCCTAATGAAACAGAGTCCCCAGACTAAGAACTGGAAGTTACCGGGATTGTAAATGAAGTTCATTTCCAAAATCCTAGACATCGATGTTGTTTTGTTTTTAAGGTTGGTTTGAATCATTACCTGAAGCTCAGTTCATTATTCAGCATCTATAGTGAGTCTCTATAAAGCAATCGTTTTGTCAAGTAAAGCTTCAAATGACTTCCTTCAAATCGTACCATCATCTTTTGTGATTTTGAGCCATCGATGCAATCAATAATTTAAGCAAATTGAGGGCACACAATGTCTTTGTGGAACAGAGCTCATTTATTCATACCTTAGAGAAAATCTACACCTAAGATATTCTTCATAACATGATTTTTATAACACATTCAGTCAATCCTTGGGAGGATATACACCTCCTCACAGATATCCTTCCATGTATTAAGTGTGTTTGAGTGGAAATCTCCAAGCTTTATGACGGATGAACATGCTCTCTGGCTTTGATCTCAGACTCTCAGGCGCACATAAGATGCACAGGAAAAAAACATCCTCACACCACAACACAAGGAACCTAAAGGGAAATGAAATGGCCTCTCAACCTGTGCCCACCCCCTACACACATTGGAGAAGCAATTGGCTAACCAACACTTTGGAGACGGATGTAAAGAACCAAGCTCAACAAAAATATTCTCCATTTTTCTGTCAGGGTATCTTGAAATCTTCAGTATAACATCATCAAATGGTTTGGAGCTGGAACAGCCATACCAGTAGGTTGTTTAATTACCCTCTCTAAGAAGAGCATGTGAGGTGTTTATCTGCATTGCTGACATGTATACTATTCGAAGACATTTCCATATATATTAACTGTGTTTACTGCTAGAATAAGAAATGTTTGTGTTCAATTACTCTTTGAACACTGGTTTGTATAAATCACAATTACATTCCTCACTTTACAGAACAGCACATTTTTATTTAAATTATAATTAGGCGTCAAACTGTGAATTAAATTGATGAAATTGTTTCTGCGTTAGTCCAACAAAAAAAACAAAATTGTTTAATAACTGTCTTGAAAAATCCTATCAGACTGCAAACTGCATTAGGCAAACAATGTTTGAAAGTTGCTAATGAATAGAGATTTAATATGACAACGCATAACAAAACACTGACAATACTCCTGATTAGACACATAGCATTTTGTGTCCTCTGCAAAAAGGCAAGGCAACGACATGTGAGAAGCAAGGTTCAAAGCCGAAGCAGATGATAGGGGTGTGTGTGTGCATATGTGTGTGTGTGTTTGCGAGGGAGAATATGCCACCCAACCTCAGACAGCACAGAGATATTCATTACAGTGGTGACTGCTAATCCATATGTTTGTACTGCGAGCGGTTCCCCATCACTCAATTGAGTTTCTCCAGCAAGGTCTGGCTCTGCCTCTGAATGGGAGTTGTCACCAGAGGAGGTGAAATGTGAGGGGGTGAATTTTAGTGCATTTTGTTTGTCGATTTGTACCAGCTCGCACTGACAGCCAAGGTGCTTCCAAATGTCAGCTCGCTACTGCGGTATCAATATGATTAGCTTACCCGCGCCACATCTATTCCTCTAATGTTATTCAAATCAATAGCAGACAGTCCTTGTCCCTGCCTGCTGTCAGCCTTTGCTCAATTTCTATATGTAAAAAGAGAGTGGAGCAGTCTTGTAGAAATGCTGTTAACTGACAAACATTTCCCACACACTTCTCAATGTTGGATTCTTTTAGGGAGGGCTATTATCAGAGTGCCTTTGACTGATTGAAATGGGTTTAGCGTCTCTTTTTTTACACAGAGTAGGTGGAGGAAATTGTTAAGGACTGTTTTTCCAAACAAGATTTTGGTCATGAAAGCAACCACAGATAATCGACTAAGCCTAGGAGCAAGAAACAAGACCAATCAGCGGGCTGTGCTGAGTGGTTAGATAATGATGTTACTCATCGCCCCTAGTTACTTGCAGACCTTGTGAACAACGATAAAATTAGATATTGGAGTAATCAAATATAGCGTGATTGTGCTTCTGCATGGCCTATATTTGACTCAGAAGTAGTTTGGGACATTTTTGCCCAACGTTTAAAAACAGGCCCCTTATTATTCCTGTTATAAATCCAGAGACAAACTCCAGTGAAAGCCAGCAGTGAGTGACTTTCAACACTCTGGTGCAGGAGGGGTCATGTAAATGTTTGAGTGAAGAAGAGGTCAAGTCCTTCTTTTGTTCCAGTCTAATGCCAATACATGTTAGCAAAGAGAGGGAACAAACTGAACTAGAGAATGCAATTCCGAAGAAATTGCTAGTGGGAATGCTTTATGCTGAAAATCTGATGCTAAACTTCTATGCTGAAATGTAATGTGTAAGAAGAAAGTGAAGAATTTAGATTGAAATGATACATGAACACTGGGGGCTTGAATGTGTGATGAGAGAAGAAAAGAAAGGGAAAAGGCTTGGAAAAGCAGCAGAATATTTGAACTGCAAACTTCTGAACTAACTTGATGGCAATGATCTGTCGCCATGGCAACCGCATTTGATGACACCCCATAATATGCTTAGATGCGTTGATGGCTGCATCATTACCAAACCTGTGAAGTTTTGGGGCGTTTGGAGCAGTTTCACTGAAGTTATGAGAAAGCCGTGTTTCATGGCGAGCATTGTGTTGCCATGGCAATGGCATTTGAAGAAATCTCAAAACTGTCCCATAGATGTCTTCACAGCTGGACTGTTGGCACACATGTGAAGTTTGAGCACTTTTTGAACATTTTCATAGGAGTTATAGCGACATCATGTTTTATGGCGAGGGATGCGTTTCCATGGAAACGGCATATGGTGAGATCTCATATTTGTCGTAGAGCTGTTGAGGCATGGACCGGTGATATACAAGTGAAGATTGGGGGACGATTGGACCGTGTCGATTGGACTTACAGCGACATCCTGTTTCATGGCGAGAAGTCTGTCGCCATGGCAACGGCATTTGATGACACCCCATAATACGCTTAGATGCGTTGATGGCTGCATCGTTACCAAACCTGTGAAGTTCTGGGCTGTTTGGAGTATTTTCACTGAAATTATGAGAAAACCGTGTTTCAAGGCGAGCAATGTGTTGCCATGGCAACGACATTTGAAGAAATCTCAAAGATGTCTTCACGCTGGACTGTTGAAGTCTGCTGCTCTGAGCATGTCAGTTGGAGTGATGACATCATCGTGTTCCATTACACAGGTGTTTATATTTGAGCTAACGAGGTGTGCAGAGATCACAGGTTTTCATTGTTCTGAATGAGAGATAAACTTCTTACATGTGAACGTTTTGTGGAAGAACCGTAACAGATATCTGTGAAATTTCAAAACGTGAAGCATGTCAAGGAAGTTGAGTATCTGAAGTGTAATTTGTGTACTTTCGGGTTAATAATGTGGCCTTTTTGGCAGTGTAACTAAAGGTGTGCGGCTACTGCCGTGAGGAAATATCTGCCTGAAATTACAATGGGCTTTAATGGAGGCATGTTGAAAGTTTTTGTCACTTCATGCCCTCAAGAGGCATTTTGTTTAATTATTTTTGCTTAATTATTTGTCATTTTTCAAGCTACGAGATGTTTTCTTACGTTTGTCATGATAAATTATGTCTCAGGAATGTAGGGTTTGGGAATTATGGCAGTTTAAAAAAAATATATGAAGGCAAATTTCAAGATTTTCTACCCTCTAGCTGTGACATCACGCACTCTAGTTAATGTTAAAATCTGAAGAAAACTTCTATAACAAGGTCTGAACAATATTTAATATCTCTAAAAGTAAGAATCAGATTTAAAAGTTGTTTTACACGAATAATGTCAGAAAGATGTGTAACATTTTAAATGATGTTTCTGAGTGAAAGTATGAATGAACAGTTAGCAGTTGAAGTCTCATGAAGATTAGTTGAAGTCTGAAGATTTCCTCCATTGACTTCAATGTTAAAAATGTGATGAATTATGGGATGTATCTCTGGAATTATGAAAGTTATGAATGAGAAAAGTAATAGCCATCGATTCCCGACCGAGCTGAACGTTTTGATGTTTGAACGGAGATTCTGCGATGTTCAATGTGGGAGGAGAAGAGGGCCAAAATACCGGCGGAATAATAATAAACTTTTCGTGCGTAGAATAACAGATATTTGAGTTGGAATGCTGTTAACAGTATTCCAACTCAAATATGTGTTAGAGGTCAGTTTGTCATTTTTATAGATACACAGAGCGAGTGAAGCAAAGCCACTCAATGGCGGTGTGTGGAGGATCTTTAGCCTCATTCACAGTGAAGTGAGTCCTGTCCCACATGGACCAGGTGGCCGGACCTGCTGTCCCTCCACGACAGCCGAGAAAACGGCTTTCAGATACATCTCCCTCCACAATGCTGAGCCCAATCATCTGAAATACGCCAAAAGCATACATGACAAAGCTGCAAGCCACCCGGCAATTAGCTAATTGAAAATGATCACAGGCCGGTGAAAGACAAAGTGAGCTTTTCAATACCCTTTTGACACACATGGCTGCACATGCACATTCTCAATTGCAATTTTTTTTGCAGATACAGGAGCTAACTCTGAGTCTTCAGTTTTTAATTAGACGGTGGACAAAGCCTTTGATCTGACCTCTCTGACGCTCCCTCCTTGTTAATCAGTGTGATCCTACAAGCCTCTCAGGCTCGTGCTGGATGTTAGCGGCAGCCTGACAGTGTGCCCTCTCTCTTGCTCTGCCAGGTGAAGTGTGACCAGTACTGGCCGTCGCGAGGAACAGAGACCTATGGAATGATCCAGGTCACCATGCTGGACACCGTGGAGCTGGCTACTTACAGCGTCCGCACTTTCGCCCTCTACAAGGTACAGAATCTGCACCTAACCATATAGAGAGACATGCTTATTAAGGACGTGTTTCCCAGCAGGTAACTGCAGTACCTCATTACTGGGGTCACATTTTAAAAATGTAATTTCATATTTTTCTGAAGACAGATAAAGGCGTATTACCACTGGAATCATTTTTTCACTGCCGTAATTGGTTTCTAACATCCGAGATTGCTCTCTTGTTCTCTAAAAGACCATCAAATATTTCAGTTTTTCACTTTGATTCATATACTTTAGTGCCATGATGATGTGACTGATGTGTCCTTTATTTCTCCTCTTGCCGTTCTCTTTCCATTACTTTTTTAATTTCGAACATTATTATAATTCCTAATTAAATGCAAGTCTCCAACTGGAGCGGCTTCTATCAGGAATGGTGACGATGCCAAGAAACCGTTTTCCGAGAAACTGCTGAGTTCAATTCCAAAATGATACACTTTATCTGCACCTACACTCGCAGGATGATCACAGCCATGAAGCAGAGCACATTATGTGCTGCTATCAAAGTAATGAGTTAACTCGAGACATTTGCTCAAAATGGCTTCATTTCTGATTAAATCCCTCATGCTTTTCAGTTCTCAACTGCAGAATTGTGACTACCTCTTAACACAACAGTCTGACCTTAACTTTCTAAAAGCATGTTTTTCCCCTAGCATGACCCGTTTAAAAAAAAAAGCCAATAACAATTTATTTGTTAACTCACTTAGCGCACAAAAACACCTTTCTTATTTTCTGACTCCTCCGATTCTCCTGCAGAACGGCTCCAGTGAGAAGAGAGAGCTGAGACAGTTCCAGTTCATGGCCTGGCCGGACCACGGGGTGCCCGAGTACCCCACCCCTATCCTGGCCTTCCTACGGCGGGTAAAGGCCTGCAATCCTCCAGATGCAGGCCCCATGGTGGTCCACTGCAGGTGGGTGCAGACTGTGCTCAGTATGCGTGCAAACAGCAAATTAACTGCCAATTACCACCACATGTATACATATTGTGCATGGCTTGTTTTCTTCATGGATCTAAAGGATTAAAGACAGGGTTGTGTCCTCAAAATATCCGTGCCAACACAGCGTAAAGGGCAACACATGCAGGTGTTGAAATCCTGTTTTTGGGTTCAACACTTTTTTCCTTCCCCATGAATTTGGCTCAATATGTTGTTGTTGTTGTTGTCTATGTTCCAGCCTGTCCTTAAGCCATTACATGCACACACTTTGTGCACAATCTGCGGCAACAATTTAATTATAGTCCAGCTCTCATGCTAGAGGGTGTAAATCAACTAATCTTGATTGCAAAATGTCCAGTTTTCAGCTGTCAAGCAGAGAGCGGGTCTCAAAATACATACCTTACATAACATATTCTTAATGCGGCTTGACTCGATTTTTTGATCTGCATATATTTGTTATACATTTAGATAAGTATTGATACAAATATGTAACCTCATTAAATGTGAAGTTGCATTTTGATACCAACATTTCACAACAAGGATATACACAGCAAATGAGAAGGTTAGAGAAATGTAGTTCTTAAAATAAAACAGACACCTTCGGATACAAACCTGTTTTATCTTAGACGATATATGATTTCATTACTGTTGTGATTGTGTTGTTCTGGTTGACCTCACAACACTGATAACTTTGTGTTAAGTTGTTTTCTCTCTTTCGATGTTACCACTGTGTTTGTGAGAGTCTGTGAAACATAAAGTTATTGACCCTCCTCTCTCTCTCTGCATCAGTGCGGGGGTGGGCAGGACTGGCTGCTTCATCGTGATCGATGCCATGCTGGAGCGCATGAAGCTCGAGAAGTCTGTGGACATCTACGGCCATGTGACGTGCATGCGTGCCCAGAGGAACTACATGGTCCAGACCGAGGACCAGTACATCTTTATCCACGAGGCTCTGCTGGAGGCCGCCACCTGCGGAAACACGGAGGTCCCCGCACGCAACCTGTACGCACACATCCAGAAACTCACCCAGCCCCCGCCCGGCGAGACGGTCACTGCCATGGAGCTGGAGTTCAAGGTGACTGATCAGCACGCACCTCAGACTATTATGTTTTATGTCATTACTTTGACTTTGCAAAAAAAAAAACATTTGAGCCGGTGCTGTAAGTGACTCCTGCAGGTTGTAATGAAGCAATTAACTTGAGAGAAGTCATTTCAGAACAGCTTTCTTTACTTTATAGTGCACTGGATAGTTTTCAGGAATGACATTGCAACACAGTGCAGGAAGTGAGTTTTGTCAACAAAACAGATATTCTCAATCTGTTCTGATCTGGAAGCACTAGACTGTGCTCACACTTACTTTGTCCAAAGTCATGAAGATGGCCTCAGACTGCAGTAGCTCTGACCTTCTGTCCAGGGTGTCGCTGTTGTGCCGGTATTTAAGCATGTTTGAAGTAATTAATTTAGTAAATAAGGCCAATGCACATGAATTTGTCCCATTGACATTGGTGCTGAGGCATCTCAGCAGCTACAGTAGCATCGTTAAATACCAACACACATGTTTCAGGGACAAATGGACCGGAACACACAAACACATCAATACGCCTACATGTGGAGAATTACAAAATGACTGACACTGGCACATACACACAGCTGGTGTTCAAGGTGACTCGCAGTCACACGCACACGCACACCTTCTGTCAATAGCCATCGACTGTGATGTTATTACACACTTTCCTCCCTGCGCCGCTCTGCCATTAGCCCTCTTATGAGCATGATCCATTCTGTTTGAAGTGATAATAGCATCTGCACTCCTGCCAACAATGGAGAATGAAAGAGTGAGAGAATGATTGCGGTGTATTTGGGGGCCACAGCCTCAACACACACACAGTGTGGCCACAACACACACACAAATTCAGCCATGACTGTCCATACACAGTCCTGTGCTGTCCATCTGCGCTCTGTCTGCTGCCAGCACTGAGCTAGTCCCGCCCACAATCCTCCAGGTTCTGGGGCTCTATGAGAGACAACTTCTCGACACTTCATTATACCTACAAGCAGCATTTCTTATTCATCTTGAGATGAATCCTTTAGTCTAAATAGAGACTTGACAGGGAAGCCTTTCAGACTTCCTTGTTTGTTTACTGCAGGTCACAGGTCACTCACTGTTATCCTCCATATCTCTCCCTCTGGTTTATTCCCTCCATTCATTAAACAGAGATTGGCCAACTCCAAAGCCCACACGTCACGCTTCATCAGCGCCAACTTGCCCTGCAACAAGTTCAAGAACCGCCTGGTCAACATCATGCCTTTTGAGTCCACGCGCGTCTGCCTGCAGCCCATCCGTGGCGTCGAGGGCTCCGACTACATCAACGCCAGCTGCATCGACGGCTACAGGTCAGCAAACGCCTTCATCTTCAACATTTAATGCCAATGAGTGAGGTTAAAGTTCGGACTTTGAGCTTTTAAAAGTCCAGGCCGCCTTCTTTTCTTTATTTATCTCATAAACGCATCCCATGAAAAGACTAAAGCCATCCATGCATAAGCACATTTCTCAATACTTCAAACTTTACTACCCAAGCTACACCACATGTGGCTCTTATACCAAAGCCAATGTGTTCTTACCAAAGATGTCAATCTTAAAAAACAGTTCAATTGTACAGTCTTAGGGCTTGGAATTAGCAAATGTTACCAATAGGGGCAATACGTCAATTTATTGTTGATTTGATGATGACATGTGGAATAGCTAGACAACATACGCCTATCCTTTAAGGGTGTTTAAGTTTATTCACACCTTAAGATAAGATTTGTACCTTATTTCTGTTCTCTAATTTAAGGACAAGGGAGCAGGACAGTTGTCCTAAGCTTGCATACGAAGCACAATCTTTTCATGGCACAACAGTAAAATAATATATTACTCATAGTCACTTGAAACAGATAATTAGGATTCCTGTAACTTTTTCAAATGACTTTCTGTCTCTAAAATAAGGCTATATCCCCACAGGATTCCTCTGACATAAAGGTAAACATCCTGAAAATACATTTGAGTCTGAACTTTAACTTAGCAGTACTTGTCTTATTTTAAATCCGATGTCCTGGAGTACAAAGCCAGCACAACATGAATTGCATCAGTGTCATAGTATCTCGGGACGGCACTGAATGTGTCTGCAGTTGTTTTCTAGGCATCATAGATTATTACAGGTGTGGAAAACACAGTGGGGATTCGCAGAGGACAGGATGAAAATGTATGGGAGGGGACTGACGACGAGTCCGCAGTGGGCAGTATCCAGTTGCAAGAATTACTCTGAGCCACTACCGCTTCCATATCCAAGCTACTGCGTGTCCTTGTGTGCTCTGTGGGTCCAAATGGCTTCCTAGAGGGGGGAGATGAAAAGGCAGAGAGAAAGACAGAGGCAGAAAGAGGCTGACTCTTCAGTGGTTGAAGTTTACTGCGAGGGGATGGATTTTGCCCGCCTGAAATGCCATTCAATCGATATGGGGTTCTGCTTAGTACCAGGCCATGACAGAGACAACACCCCCCCCCCCGACTCCCCCCTCTTCCTCCAGTCCTGCTGTTAATGAGACGGTGCTCCACAGAGGCAGACCCTCTATTGTTGCTGTGTAAATAGCATAATTGCAGCAAGAGAGTAGTGTAATGAAGTGTGTTTTCCAAACCCCTCCCTTCTGTTTTTCCTCCTCCTTTCTCTTTTTTATATTTGTACCCTTTCTCTATCTCACACTGTTCCCTTCCTTAATCTGTCTCGCACCTCTTTCAGCACCCTTCCTCCTCCCACCCTCTTCTCTCACTCGTCATCTTAATTTTCCGTCCAAACGTCACGGCAGACACTGACATATCCGGGTGGGGACCTGTTGTGTGCACCGACGGCACTGTGTGATTAAGCCACTTTCAAATGCTCGGGCATAAATAAAAACTAAACAGGGGCCTCCAGTGTCCTTCACCTCAGCGTCTTCGAGAAAAGCCAATAATATGCTAAGCTAATGAGAGGCGAAGCATTGATTCCAGCCATGAGCCCGGGATACGCTCCGATGCAGGCTGGAGTTTTAGCATTGTAATGAGGCTGAAATGAAACGCTATGTCCTCGAGCTCTGCAGTCATGTGGGGAGAGAGCTGTGTGGCAGCGCTCATCAGGACTCAGGCAGAGAAGTCACTATTGTGTGATGCGCTTAGAATTGTTTTTGTTTTGGCTAGGGGCTGCATTGTGGGGAGGTTAGAGGGGTCCGCCCTTACAATTTGAAATGAAGCATTCATCGACTTGTTGGCTTTGCTTTCCTTACTCTGCTTCTCCTCCTCTCCTCTGCTCTGCTTCTCCTCTCCTCCTCTCGTCTCCTTTCTCCTCTCCTCCTCTCGTCTCCTCTGCTTCTCCTCCTCTCTCCTCTCCTCCTCCTCTCGTCTCCTCTGCTTCTCCTCCTCTCTCCTCTCCTTCTCGTCTCCTCTCCTCTGCTTCTCTCCTCCCTCGTCTCCTCTGCTTCTCCTCCTCTCCTCTGCTCTGCTTCTCCTCTCCTCCTCTCGTCTCCTTTCTCCTCTCCTCCTCTCGTCTCCTCTGCTTCTCCTCCTCTCTCCTCTCCTCCTCCTCTCGTCTCCTCTGCTTCTCCTCCTCTCTCCACTCCTTCTCGTCTCCTCTCCTCTGCTTCTCCTCCTCCCTCGTCTCCTCTGCTTCTCCTCTCCTCTCTCCTCCTCTCCTGTCCTCCGCTCCTCTCTCCTCTCCATTCCTCTCCTCTTTATTTGTGCGAGCGAGGCCGAGAGCATATTCTAATCTCCCGGTTCCACATTAGAGTCTTGCCTGCAGCAGCTTCATTAGTTGTTCAGCCGTAGCTCAGTGTGTGACTGCGTGCGTGTAGTAGCGTGTCTGAAGATACATGCGAAACTACTGCATGCGTATATATATGCTACACCTGAATGAGACATGTGCTGCAAACATGTGAGGGTGTGCGTGCAGGATCGCTCTGTGTATCGGAGCGATGCTGCCACCTGCTGGCTGCCAGAGAAAGTGCTCAGCTGAAGAGAAGTCACGTAGGACACCAGCACTGCTCTGTGGATGAGCTCATCTCTAGTTTGTGAGCATATCAAGCGCACTCTCACTTTCTGAGCTGCCGTACGGAGAGGAAGGAGGAAGATGTAGACTAGGATCTATACGGGCTTTAATAGATCAATGATGGTGCTATATGCCGAAGATTATTTCTCTGTTCATGGAGGATATTGTCATGTTGGCATTAGGGTAGATTTGAACAGAGGACAATGAACCATGCATACTTATGCAAACAATTGGCAGTTTAATTTGTTCTGAGCAGCACAGGGGGTTTGAATCCCTTTCCTATAATGATGGCACCGAGGTGCCTCGTATATAACTCAAGAGTCCCCTGAATGGTTGGTGTGTCTTGTGGAGTAACCTATACATCTCTTCCCCATCCTTTGAATTTAACTTCAGAATAATTAGTGTCTGAAGGTATTTAAACACTTTATTAGACTCTAGTTTTGTTGCATGTCTTATATCTTTAACAACTGTACTCCTTAATCATTAGATCTGGCATTGGCTTTGTTATGTACTTTTTAACACCGGTTGTAAAATAACCATAAATGTCTTAATACTGTGTTTAATCTCTGCCTGCTCTGTGCTGTTATGTCCACAGACAGCAGAAGGCCTACCTGGCCACCCAGGGCCCCCTGGCAGAGACCACCGAGGACTTCTGGAGGATGCTATGGGAGCACAACTCCACCATCGTGGTCATGCTCACCAAGCTACGGGAGATGGGACGGGTAATGCTCTAACACAGACTGAACAGAAATGCATGCAGCACCTGTAAGGCCAGCGGACCATTTCAGGGAATGATAATAATGTTTATGCGCTCGGTTGGTTCAGCTACTGTGCCACACCGCTCAAATATCAATTCATTCCAACCCTGAACAGCAACTTTGGTTGAGAGTTAACTTCATTATCACCATGAGTGGAATACATCTGGGTTTAAGCTAGCATGACTACAGCAAACATGGTGAAACATTTAATCAGATTTTTTTATATTTACTGTTTTTTATGATTACGGAGTGAATCGGAAACCACTAAACAGCATTTCAACACCCTCTCATTAATTAGCACAGTTTAGGAACTAAAGCTCTCATGCACATCATCGCTGTAGTTAAGAGCACAAACCAATGAATCAGACAATATTTCAAAACCACAGATGAATCTCTTTTTTATTTATTTTTTTGTAAGCAGATACTAATAACATACAGAACACTGTACTACAAATATCCTGCACGAAGCATTCATTATGTAAAAGTATATTTTTTCCTGTGCGTTGGAAAGAGATTCTTCAAATATCAGTGCTCAAAATGTTGCCTTTCTTTTGTAGGAGAAGTGCCATCAGTACTGGCCAGCGGAGCGCTCAGCCAGGTACCAGTACTTTGTGGTGGACCCCATGGCCGAGTACAACATGCCCCAGTACATCCTCAGAGAGTTCAAAGTCACAGATGCCAGGGTATGTTGTGTCCCAATCTCTGGGCTTGCCCGTGTGTGTATTTTATTCTTGTGAGGCTTGGTGTTTCCGAGGAGGAGTGATTGGCATTTTAACACAATACAACCATTCAACTGAAATCTATCTTAATGTTAGGTCGGTAAAAATGCTCACAGTCGCGTGTTAACGGTTAAGAATTATACCGACTGTGATTCAAGGTGGAGATGATCAGAACGTATCGCATGTTATTTCTCCTGACATGCTAACATCAAGTGAATGCACCATCAAACAAGTTTACTGTGTGTGTGTGTGTGTGTGTGTGTGTGTGTGTGTGTGTGTGTGTGTGTGTGTGTGTGTGTGTGTGTGTGTGTGTGTGTGTGTGTGTGTGTGTGTGTGTGTGTGTGTGTGTGTGTGTGTGTGTGTGTGTGTGTGTGTGTGTGTGTGTGTGTGTGTGTGTGTGTGTGTGTGTGTGTGTGTGTGTCGAGATCACTGTGAAAATACATGAAAAGCATAGCCTTCAATCCCCGAGGGCCAGTACAGTGGTTTCAATGGGCTATAAATATACTTTACTGTCATCAGAGGGCCCACAGCACAGCACTCTAATCCCACATCCACTCCTTCTTCCACACACACATATATAAATGTATATATATATACAGTTTGTGCATTAAGAGAGAAAAACATTCAGAAATACATTCCTAAAATACATGAAAGCTTTAATTTCACACATGCTGACATCACAGTGAAATGTGTGACTCCATGTTGCAGTTAAGTGTGTGTCAGTCGTGTACCACAGCCCTGCTGAGTTCCTCTTGTGCCAGGTCCTCAGCTCTACTCGTATTCTTGCAGATGTAAATTAGACGATTAGAAGGCTGCGGTGAAAGCAGCAGGGCTCTGGTAGTCAAGGACATCGAGTGAGGAGCTGTGCTGATGTGGTGTGTGAGCGGCGGCTGCAGAGAGAGATGCGTGAAGCACAAACTGAACCGAGGGTTATTTGCTCAGAGACATTAATAAAAGCATCAAAGAAAGCTCCTTACTTACTCTGTGCTTCGCTGCCCCTCAGGACGGACAGTCCAGAACAATCCGCCAGTTCCAGTTCACTGACTGGCCCGAACAAGGAGTGCCAAAAACTGGAGAAGGCTTCATTGATTTCATTGGACAAGTGCACAAAACCAAGGAACAGTTTGGACAGGACGGACCAATCACTGTACACTGCAGGTGAGGAGGGGAATGTGGATCATATCAATCATATTGTTTATCACAAATCTGTACACATTAAGGAGGGGTGCTATTTCTGAGATTCGAGCATGGTTGTGCAGCAGCAGAATAATTCTCTATAGAGTTTAATATAAATTGTGTTAAGTAAGGGAATTAAGATTTGACGGAGATGTAAACCACATTTCAGAAGTGCTCTCAGCACCTTGATCCTTAACTTTTCTCAAGACCATATTTAGGGTCGGGTGGCGCAGTGGTCTGTGCATCCGATCATCAGATCAAGGGCGAGTGCTGGGGAACTTCAGTTCGAAACCCGCTCCTGCCGCCACTGCGTCAGGCCGTTGTGTCCTTGGGCAAGACACTTCACCCGGATTTGCTCCTGTGGGTATTGTCCACAGTACATGTATAATACTAATGTGTACCTGTAAAAGCGCCTCGATGACCTCGAGGCGTGAAGATGGACGGTGTGGCGCAGTGCGCTGTGCAATGATCATCAGATCAAGGGGTGAAACCCGCCGCTGCTGCGTCTGTAAAGCCGGTGTGTCCTTGGGCAAGACACTTCACCTGAACTTGCTCCTGTGGGTATTGTCCACAGTATCTGACCATTGCATGTATCATATATGTGTAATGTGTGTATATGTAAAGCGCTTTGAGTCATTGATAAAGCGCTATAATAAATGTAAGGAATTATTATTATTATATTTAGTTTATTAGGTACACCTGGCTGAAAGTAATGCAGACTAATGCCTTAGGTTGGTGATAAGTCCTACATTTATAAAGGTTATAATGTGAATTTGTTGTTAGAAATCTTTTGAATATACCCTTAACTGAATGTATTGTCTTAAACTGAAATTGCTGTTTGCGCCAGGAAAGCACTTATAATGGCAAAAGATACATAAAAAGGTTTTATTATTCATGTCACATACTCACAGTTCAGACTCTCCTCTCAGTACACAGCAGACAGGAGTTATAAAGACTCTTTTGTGTGTCCTCAGTGCCGGTGTGGGCAGGACCGGAGTCTTCATCACGCTCAGCATCGTGCTGGAGAGGATGAGGTACGAAGGAGTGGTCGACCTCTTCCAGACGGTGAAGACGCTTCGCACCCAGCGGCCTGCCATGGTGCAGACCGAGGTAAGAACAGATCAGATTTAATATCCCACGGTGACAGCAGGGTGGTATTCCAAAGTCAACATTGAATATGTTTAAAGTGACAACCTGATGTTATCTAGTAAGTGTCCTTTCCTGCCTTACAAATGTTTCTTTAGTAGAGGTTTTAGAGGTGATTCAGAAACCCTCAGTGTCTAACCTTCCTCAAATTAAGAGTCAATAAATAATTTCTTTAATAAATAGGCAAATATTAAAGAAGACAGCAATGATGCCGATTTAAAGAAGTTATCATTGTGTGCCCTTATTGATATCACAGCCAACAAATCCACATTGGCCTGGAGGTCTCTGCAAGAATTCCCCTGATTTCATCAACGTTTTGCGTTAATATACAAATAACATGATCTCAGATGTTGGTTACTGTGACTTAAATGCTGCCTGTAGTGCAAACACTCCAAAGAACTACAGCTATAGTCAACCAGATATAAATATATTTACATATTGTTGGTTCACTTTTATTCTAGAAAACAGAATTACATACGCAGAATGCAATGATCAGTTCCCATAAGTATTGGTAAGAGCAGAGAACATGACCAGATTCTTCTTGTACATTTCCCTCCAAAAATGTATAGAAATGTTTATTAGACGGATGAAAAAAAAACTCCCATCAAAAGACTTTTAACAGAAAAAACTTAAAAACCCCAAAAGAGCAACGGACCATCTCTCTTCTAGGACGGAGAGAAATTCAGTAGATGTCGTGTGTATGCAGCTGGATAGTGAAATGACAGGTTTGATATGTGATATTCCAGACATGCTTGCAACCTTTTTAACAAGTCTTCTTCTTCTTCCTCCTCTTCCTCTCCCCAGGACCAGTACCAGCTGTGCTACAGGGCAGCGTTGGAGTACCTGGGCAGCTTTGACCACTATGCAACATAACCACTCCCAGCGAGCAGCCTCCCTGGTCAGACCTCTCAGGAGTGTGCCAAGTGTCCCATCTCAGCCACCATACACCCACCTGACCCCCCTAAGCCCCGCCCCCTCACCGCTACTGCAGGGGAGGAGAAAGGGAAGCGCTTGCAAACCCGGCGACGGGTTTATCCAATCACAGAGATCCATGCCGACTTTACCAACCACATGAGATTTTTGCTTTAAAATAATAACAGAAACATTACAATGACTATGACAAACGTGACAACTCGTGTACAGAAGCGACAGCTCTGCTCTGTCCAAGCCAAACCTCCCTGATTGTCAAAGGCTACTGGTAGCACTAAGAGAGCCCTCTCTCTGTTCTTTTTATGTTCATTTTACTGTCAATATTGTGATTCATTTTGTCAAATGTTATTGTTTAGCATATTTGTTGTTTTTAATAATCATTTTAACATCAGACATTATTTCTGTCTTAAACAGCCCAGCCTGGGGCAAGCATTATTATCATAATCGGTACTTTTTGGGGTTTTTACTGTTATTTTAGGGTACTTTAGCACAAGGGACATGTATTTTTAACACGTTCCTAGATACTAATACAGGAGGACCCCTGTTCTCTGAGCTGCTGTCAGATTTCTTTTATCACATGACTTTATTGTTTTATCCATTATGTGTCATAACCGTTATGTTTGGTCTTACTCAGTTCAATAACTCCAAAAAAAAATTGCCTTGTCACTTGCCATTTTGGATAAAAAAAGTCAACTTTAAGAAAACTGATTTAAGAGCACACACTCGCTAAAGTTTGGCCTGTAAACATGGTAGCTACTTAAAAAACAAGCAATGAATTAGCTAACGAGACACTAAATCAGAAGTGTACAGAAATGGAAAGCACATTATTTCTACGTGTTTTTTTGTTTGTTATGTTTCATCAGAAGCCTATGGCATTGAGGCCTTCATGCTCCACAGCGGAGAATTACCTGAGGAAAACAGACTTTTGTACCCAACGGGTAGTTGACCGAAAAATAAACTCCCTGATCGCTGAATAAAGTTGCTCTTCAAGTCCCTCCCGTCTCCTCGCTGCCCGTTGGTCAGTTTTCTGGAGGCGAGCGGCTGAGAGGAGCGAGAGCGGCTCACATGGAGGAGCATCAAGCTGTACAGAATCAACCATTCCTACCAGAGGGGAAAGAGACTCGGCCCTTTGGACTGAAACCTGATATTATTTTATACTGAAATAGAACTATAAATATATATATAATTATGATTATGATTGATTATATATATGTACAATTACACATAGATATATACACAGCTTCAATGGTATATTGTTAAAAAGGATACATTCTGCTGATCTACCAACCCTAGAGACAGAGCAGAGAGCCTGCTGTCCTAGAGTGTATTAATGGAAACACCGTTGTATCTACTGTACTACCATAGTAACTTTGACAGCTGGTTGTCCGTCTGAATGAGGGAAAACAGCACAACCCCCCACCCATCAAGATGGACCACTCCTCACCCAATCGCACCACTCAAGCACACATCTTCTCCCACACGAGCCACAGGAGGGAGCGTCTGAAGAGGCCTAAACGTTGTGGTGGCGGTGGGGGGGGCGGCGGTGGGAGGGAGGGAGGGGGGACTTGAAAACGCTGGCGCAAAAGCTGAAATGTTCATTTTTACCTTGTGAATGCTTAGTGCTGTAGGGGTTCGATCTGTTGTACACACAGTCTGTTTTCTATTTGTGGATAAAGAACTGGAATTTAAAAAGAAACTGTTGATGAAAATGAAAAAACATTGATGTTAATAAAGTTAAATAATTGGGTTTTTGTACAAATCTTGGCTTGTGACGCCTCGTTTCTTGACCCTGTTTTTAACTAAATGCGAAAGTCTTAAAGGGGCTCTATTGTGCTCAATTTAAGGCTCATAGTTGTATGTTGTGTCTCTCCTGTGACATGTCTCCATGCTTTAATGTTCAAAAAGCTCTTTATTTCTCTCATACTGCCTGTGCTGCAGCACCTCTTTTCACCCTCTGTCTGAAACCAGAACCCAGTCTGCTCTGATTGCTTAGCTGGTCAGCTCTGTGGTGATTGGTCAACCGCTTAGAGATGTCCCGCCCCTTAGCCTATCACATACAATGTGTTGGAGAGCTATCCAATAGAAGCGTGAGTGTTACATAGTGATGTCACCATGTTTTGAAAGTAAAAAAGGAGTCAAATGGAGGTGTTCCAGGCAGTGGGGAGGGAACACGGGGATTTAAGTCTATGAAGACCATTTAAAAATGCAACGATATAAACACACTATAGGAAAGGGAAAATCCCCAAAACCATAATTGGGCCTCTTTAACTGATAAATCCTTCACTGTCTTCTGTTTCAAGGCATTCATTATTTTATTAATGCAACATTACATGCATATGTGTGTGTGTGTTTGTATTTGTTTGCAGGGGTGTATCTAGGAGTTGTCCTTTTTCGAAAGGCCCCCAGCAACCAACTGTCACGGAGAATGAAGTCATCATCACTTATCGTTAGGTAATTTAAGGTTTAATATGTTTTGTATTTGTGCTCTTCAAATTGGTTTGAAAGAGGCGGGTCTCTGTTGGAGAATGATGATGTCACAGTGTTCTGTGGTCCAATCAGAAGATAACATTAAGAAAATCAGAATGTATTGATTTAAGGTCATTTGCTTTATGTTGCCATGGAGACACCTGCAGTCTTGATGGAGGATGTGACTGAGACTGTACTAAATCATTATTTACTAAATAGTCCACCATATATATGTGTCTCAATTCTTATTGTGAGATGTATCCACTGTATATATGTATATATATATATGTATTCCACACAGTGCCCTGACAGAAAAAAGCAATGGGCAGTAATATCCACTGCTAAAAAAAAATCTACATTGCAATCTCATTTTCTAGATTCAATAATTACAGTCAAGCAATTTAAAAGTGATTGAGGAAATGAGGGGGATTAAAAAGTGTATTCTATCAGTTGATTGCTCACTAAAGAGTTAAACACTGTATTAGTGTTTGATATATTATATAATTTAGTGAGTAGGTGAGGAGAGTTTTTAAGGACCCTTTAGAGTATTTAGTTAATCAAATCCCACACCCACACAGTCCTGAAGATGCAGATGTCTTAAGTTCTCATCAAATACAATTTAAAGATGATTTTCACTCATTTTAATGTATAGAGAACCAAGAGTGTTCTTTCTACATGTGTCTTATGTCCATGTGTGCCTACAGTCTGTTAAATCAGTGTCATTATGAGCGGGAAATAAAAGCAGACAGCTTTGGGTCGCATGTTTATCCTGTGTGTGATGATCGTAACATATGGAGAGGATGCTAATTAAAACATGGCAGCTAAGGTAACAGATGGATTTGTTGTTGCATCAACACGCTGAAGAGAATAAATGATTTCAAGACAAAAGCAAACACAGGATATAAAGCTGGATTTAAGGGATGATTACTGTGGTTGTTTTGTTCTTTACTGCTGCGGGAATCCAGCAATAATATCATCTTTTATTTGTGTTGTATTGTGCTCTTAGCTCTGAATAGTGTTGCAGAAATGCACGCCTTAACGATGTTGTTGCTCATGTGTGTTGTGATATGAACACTGATACATTGCTGGAGTAGACTTTCACTTCACTTATAAGGTTCTTATGATTATGTTAGCTAACAATATGTTGACAGTTTCTCGTTTTTTCAGCATTTATTGAACTTTTGTTTGAGTGCTAGTTGTTGATAGTAGAGGTGATATTGTGGAATGTGGAATTTAGCATTTTACAAAATGTTGTTTTGGATCCCAACTGACCAACTGACAACTGTGTCCAGGTGCATTTTTTCATTACTCAGGAGCATTGACTGTACCTAGCTGCTTTTCCCTAATACCCATCTTTACTTTACCAATAAACCGCACAGCTCAGCGACCTGTTATCACTGTCCTTTGGAGATACAATGAGTAATCCGATTGGGTAAGCAAATTAGAAAACATATGGTTGACTAATCTACATTGCAGTATATCAAGATGCTGATTCTTGTTTTTGTGTAGAGATGATGCCCAATCTGCCCGGGATGAAGAAGACTGTGACGGTGAGTTGCTCTGCTTGAAGATTAAGGCCCAGTTGGAGGATTTGTTCACCGACAGCCACCTGGCCGAGGACGGCTTCCTGCTGAAACATGTGCAGAAGAACAAGCAGGGCTTCGTCAGCCTCAAGCTCCTCACTTGTCTGAAAAAGGTACAATCATGTTAGTTAATTGCAAGGTTTCAGTTGCTTTCTGCTATGTTTACAGTCCAGTAAAAAAGCAAACAAACCTGAGGTTGCTGTTGTTTGTTGCAGATAAAGGTCCTGACCACAAACTGGTACATGACTCTGGCAGGAGCAGAGTACTCCGAGCTCCTGGAGGTGAACGATGAAGGCACCAAAGTGAGGCGGATGGAACCGCTTCCCAAGAGGCTGCTGTGTTCCCCCACCAGCAAGCTGCTCCTCGCCTGGAACTCTTCTGTGGAGAATTCAACCGGAGACAATGGATCATCCCGAGGCCTGGAGCAGGCTTTCCTCTCAAAGAGCATCCTCCAGAAGTTCAGCGCCCATGGCGGCATTATTTCATCCTGGATCCTGCATGCTGGCGAGGAGCTTCCCAAGGAGCTGCAGTGCTACGCCAAGCGCCACAAAGAGCTCGGCCAACAACTGTGTGTAGTGGTGAAGTTTAATCATTTGGAGGAAGTTCGTAAGACCTACAGCGCCCTGAAAGCAGAGGAGGAGAAGTCTGGCGGTGACGGCATACACGTGGTGCCTTTGGGATTCCAGTCGATGCACCACATCAACAGGGGGGAATCATCAGAGGGAACCAACAAGGTCAGACCTGAGGACACACCTTCCCAGGAACATCCTCATCAAACCCCAGAGGATTCAGTCAAGGATGACAAAACATCTCAGCCCCAGAAGTCTGTGGAAAACTCTGTGCAAAGAACCTTGGAGCAGATCTCCAGCAACTGGAACAGCAAGTCCCTCTCCGGTCTGAATCCGAGGCACAGCAAGAGGAACTGGTGCTCTGGAGACGGTGACGCAGAGAGCTCTCAGAGCCCCTGGGTGCTGAGGCGCAAATTTGCAGCCAGTGTATTAAACCCCAAGGTGGCGCTGCACATGAACGCGCACTGCCTGATGCAGACGGTGGTCCGTCAGCCCCTCGGCCCCGACAGCACCAAGGGCTTTCAGAGCAGAAGGAGGCCGCGGCAGCAGGGGGAGCGCAAACTCTCTCTGGGAAGCAGAAAGACCACCTGTGCAGATTAACAGTTGCAGAACAATGCAGCATCAACACGCTCCGACATTTTATAAGCTGATGAAATAAATAAATCTTTGTTGTATTAAACTGAAAAGGCTATTTACTTTTTGATGTCTCTCCTGGTGAGGGACTGTTTATTCTGTGTTGCATGTAGTTGTAATCCACTGACAGATGAGGGCAGCATTAAGCTGTGTTCACAGCTGTGTTATTTGAAACACTCACCCTTGTCATGTAGGAAGTACATGCACTGTACATGCACTGCAAGGACTGTAAATAGACTACAACACATTTTAGCTGAAGGTACAAATTGTTGCACAAACGGAGGTGTTTAAGCGCTGAGGAAAAGTGTCTGAGAGTTCACACACACTGATTTCTTTAATCACCTCTGGCGTCTGCACTGCTGGGGCCTCAGCTGGTCACATCTGCAAATTGCAGTGTATATTTGTTCTTGGGTCAGGCTGGACTTACCTTGTTGCCACTTTCTCAAGGAGAAAAAAGCCTTCATTGTCCCATTGCATCTTTGTCACAAATGCCTGTTTAGATTATGGTTCTCTAAAAAGTAGTTTTCCTTTCTGTGAGATGACATTTGGCTAACGGCTACTTGTCCAATCCTCAAACCACATCTTGCGCAAGACGAGCGGAGTAGCAACATTTGAGCCTTATTTCCAGCCTTTCTAATGACACCTCGACAGGAATGGTGTGTTTATAGTGTTACTGATTGAGGGCTTCCTTAAAATCTTGCCCAAACCTAAACAAAATGTGTTTCTTCACTCATCCACAGCCAGTGGAAAAGATTCAATCCGGTGTGTATGGGATTCTATCACGTTCAAATTGGAAACATACTCTGCTGTATTTCTTCTTTTTGTTTATAGTGAACGTCAGACTGTCTTCATGACTAATGTAATCTAAGCTGTTGAGTGAGACATTGCATTGTATACAGATCAAGTGTAGCCCTCCTATTGTCTCTGACTCCATTTAGCAATTAACAGCTGTTGGACTTTTATTGTAGCGAAGGCTGGTCTAAGAAAACTTTACACATCTGTGAACAATATGTATAGAGAAGAAATGTTCCTGCCCCATGTCAGGAAATATTTCTGTGCTGATAGTTCCTGTTCAAGGCTACGAAAGCACGATATCCCCTGCTAACAGCGAGTCATTATGCTTTTATGTGGGCTCCTACCGCCAATAATGATGAATGTCAAACAAGTTCTACGTCATAATTCTCTTGTTTTTCGAGGGGAGGGTCGTCATGATTTTGCACCTGCTGACTAAAATACTCTTGCGGTGAAGAAGAGCACAAATATTATTTTGATTTGTTGGGCGCTGAAAGGGCTAAGTGGAAAGTTTTGGTTGGCTTCGCCTCAAACTTGAAATGAAATGTACACTTGAGATAACAATCTAAGAAATGATCCATCAATACTCACATGTTGGTATGAGACAAAGCTCAGATAAATAACTTTTGTTCTCAGTCCACACTGAGGGGTTTACAGTCTGAGAAAGTTAGCTCTTGGCCACATCTCTCCCTCTTTAGTGGATCTTTGCATAGCGTG